AAAAGGGAGACAGTAGCATGACATGAAGCTAGAATGGGAGCCAGGGAGCAGATTATGGAGGGCCTTATAAGTCATGCTTGTCTGGGCAAGTATCATCAATAGGCACCATATAGGTGGGGGAGGCCCATTATGTAAGAAATCTATGTTGTCATTGGAGGTCAGGGGTGGGGATCATATTGAAAGTCTGAATTTGTAATCTTTGTTTTGTTTGTTAGTGCTACATCTAGTCTGCTCCAAACCCATGGCTTTATGCTGACCCAGAGTTTCTTAAAGCAGTTACCTATACCTCATCATACTGCCTCCTGCATGTACCATAAACCTTTCCAATGCTGGAGCTGCTGCTGAGGTATTTAGTGTTGGGGAGATAATATCACAACAGGAAGCCAAGGAGGAGTTATTTCCTGAGAGAGAGTGAAAAAGAGAGATTTTTTTTTCTCATATATAGAGAATATATTTATTCTCTAAGCTATAGGCCTTAGGCTTCGAGGAGAAAGTTGATTCATAATGAAGAGTTCTTCACCTACTTCAGTTTTGCCATGATAGTTGAAGTCTAGATATAGTGACCATGAAAGATATGATGCTAATCCTAGTCATTTGACTGGTTATAAAAGGAGCCAAAGATCATGAAAATGGATGTCCTGGAATCCTACAATATTATTACAATAGTGACAAGGATTTTCCCAATGGTACTCAGTGATTTTGAATACAAATTGTTGCCTTGTGACTCTTATAGTGCCCTACTTGTATTCTACTGCTTGATGAAGAGCATGTTGCACCTCCTCCTTAGCAGGAGCTAATTGTAAAAATTTATTCCTTAGACTTGGATTCACATGAATGTCAAGACTAGGTGTCCCTAAGCCAAATACAGCACTACTAATTCCTTGCCTTTTGTTGTTCTTTCAGCCTTCCCATTGCCATACATGGTCATTGACTGTAATTTTGGAAAACTCAATGCTGTTCAGGAAGCTTGCCATGATATCTTAAAATGGACCTGAACTACTCCATTCTCCAAGCTATATTTTGTTTTTTTCTCTGGCTACCCTATCATTAACTTTTGCATGTTACCTAGCTTTTTCTCCACTCAGCCCCCCCAGCTTTTTTCACTCTTTGATGAATTTTTTTTTTTTTTTTGGCCAGATGTAGAATGGGTAACAAAGAGAATAGATTGAGATGAGTATGATCTATTTGCTCCAAAATGGGTTAAAGAATTAAATAAAGATAAAAGGCATGCTTGCTAAATTTGCAAGCTACTCAAAGCTGGTATGTGACAAGGAATAGAAATCAGAATAGCGATTATAGAACACTGAACTGACTCCAACACAAGATGCAAAGGTGAAACTAAAATCCTGATTTTCATTAGAAGAATCTTTTAAGTTGTGAATTGTGAAGACCTAACTTGTCTTCAACAGTTTCGTTAGAGGCTCAGCCAGGTTCTAACATGAGTACCTGAAGTTAGGACCCTACTACTGGTATTTGTAGTAACATCATTTGAGAAGGTACCTGGCTTTTTGTCTTCTCTAGACTTCTTAAAGTCTCCCTTTCACAGTGTTTCTTGTAGTGGCTTGTCATCAGAGTCTTAATAACAATCATGACAATCTATTAATATAAAATATTGTGAAAAGCATTTGGAGTGCTTCCTCTTTGTTTTGATCATGCAATTAGTGGCATTGAATCCTGTTTATACAATAGGGAGAACATACTTCCCTATCCTGTGTTGTGGTTAGACATCTATAATGTTGTATACAGTTTTGAGCATCACATTTAAGAAGGAGTTTACTAGTCATAACATGTAACCAAAATGTTTGTACCCCCATAATTATCCTGAAATAAAAAATAAAAATTAAAAAAAGGAGTTTACTCAGAAGAGATCAGCCAAGATAGTCAGGTGTGTGGAAACTCTATTACAGAAGGAAAGGTAAGAGGAAATTGGTATGATTGACCTGGGAAAGAGAACAGTTCAAATGGAAATGAAAGCAATGGGTGGAACTAGAAACTGAAACTTTAGAAGTTTAGATTTGATTATGTTTTATCTGTATCTCAGAATGGGAGACTATGTTTAGCCCAGAGTCTATGGACTCTTACAGAATCAGCCAGCCAGTATTCTACATCATAGGCAGACAGACAAATATAAATGTTAACTTAATACAGAACTGTATTTTTTCTGTGGCTTTTATCACTTTAATAGACTACATTCCCATTTGCCCTTTTGCCATCCAATGAAAGGGGCAACCTGAGATGTAGGACAATTTCCAATTTCTTCAGATAGTGGCTTCTAAAATTCCAGGAACTCTCTTCTTTTCCTTCTGTTTAATTATGAAAACAGACACTATCACTGGCAGCCGTTGGCTCACACTACTGCGGCAGCCTTTAAGCCTTATTAACTCTAATTGGTTGATTCCCTCTTTTTATTTCTAAATCATGCTTCTCTGAATTCAAATAACAAGTCCAAAAGTCCAGTTCTGAAGGCAGTTTTGGGATTTGGAAGTAAAGTTTGATGTGCCGTGAAAACCCACAAATATGATGGGTCACTCCATGGACCTTGGTCATGGGGAAAGCTCCAGGCACCGTGGCCAACCAGGATTATAGGTAGTGGTGAAGGGAAATCTTTTCCTAGTGAAAATCATAAAAGAAATTCATGTAACTCAAGACCGTTGGCCTGTAGCCCACTGCTTGTCTGCTGGCTCTTGTCGCACACTGGGGAGATGAGGAAATGGAACAGTACTTCAGGTCACTTACTAGTTTGCCATGATTGTGATTTACCATCACTAGCCTTGTCAGTATTTTACATCTCCTTTTATGTTTCCACACTGTCACCGTGGAGGGCCATAGCAATGTCTGTGCAAAACATCAATAAATGAAAGAACTCAGAGTAACCAGAGGCCCATGGCAACAGCATTAAAACCAGATGCCTTTGGCTTGGCACAGCTGATGTTGTATGAACTTATAAATGGTTATATAATGTAATACCTTCTGTTTATCATAGGCAGAAACTCCTAGAATTTTAACTTTGCATTTATTTTTTTAAATTTATTTTTAATTTAATTAATTTATTTATTGAAACAGAGTCTTGCTCTGTTGTCCACAGTGTCAGCCTAGCTCACAACCACCTCAAACTCCTGGGCTCAAGTATCCTCCTACCTCTGCCACCTGAGTAACTGGGACTACAGGTGTGCACTGCCATGCCTGGAGCATTTTTTTTTTTACTTTATATTTTTGTAGAGACAGGCTTCTCTCTGTTGCCCAGGCTGGTCTTGAACTCCTGGCCTCGAGTGTTCCTCCCACCTCAGCCCCCCAAAGTGCTAGCATTATAGGCATGAGACACCGGTGACCTATGATGCTTTAAGCTATGTTTATTTTTCACTGTGGATGATTTTGACTAATTTCCACTTTGTTTCTCCTTCCAATAGTTACTTAGAACTAATTCCACCCAGCTAATGTGGTAAGATTAAAGGTGGATGGTATTTAGAGAAACACAGATCTCTGATTGAAGCCATGCATTTTTGTTATTAGTTGTATATTTGCTTGTTGTGCTGTCAGGTAACACTGATCACCTATTTGTGAAGTTACTTACACCTTGATTCTTTTCAAACAAATGTTACATCTCTTACTAAAACCTTTCCAGGGATTGCTATGGCACTCATAATGAAATCCAAACTGCTTACTCGTGCCCCTGAGGTCCTGCATGGTTTGTTCTTACCTGCTTCTCCAACTTCATCTTGTCCCACTCTCAGCCCTCACTAGGCTACATCCACCAGAGTTTTCTTTCAGTTCCTGGAATGAATTCAGATCTCGACTAACTCAGGACTTTGACATATACTTTTTCTGTTTTTAGAATTCCTCTTGATCCCATTTTTCATGTGATAGACTTACTTACCCTTCAGGTATCAGATTAAACATTGGTTTCTCAGAGAATCCTTCTTAGACAGTGCAATCTAATGTAGGTCTCCCTTGTTATTTTCTCCCATAACCTGTTGTCCTTGTTTTTCCTATAATTTTGCACAATTTAAAAAAGTTTACATATATTTGTTTCCTTTTAACCACATTTCTCCCATTAGACTATAAGCTCTATGAGGGCAGGGATTGTGTCTATTTAGATCTCCACTATTTACCTAGTGCCTAGCTTAATGCCTAGTACTGAATACATAATTTTTTTTTTTTTTGAGACAGAATCTTACTTTGTTGCCCAGGCTAGAGTGAGTGCCATGGTGTCAACCTAGCTCACAGCAACCTCAAACTCCTGGGCTCAAACAATCCTTCTGCCTCAGCCTCCTGAGTAGCTGGGACTACAGGCATGTGCCACCATGCCCGGCTAATTTTTTCTATATACATTAGTTGGCCAATTAATTTCTTTCTATTTATAGTAAAGATGGGGTCTCACTCTTGCTTAGGCTGGTTTAGAATTCCTGACCTCGAGCAATCCGCCCGCCTTGGCCTCCCAGAGTGCTAGGATTACAGGCGTGAGCCACCACACCCGGCCTGAATACATAATTTTCTTAATAAATATTGAGCCCTTAAAATTGCCGAACACTTGATAACCTACAAGGAGTTTCCACATGAATTCTCAGTGAATCCTTATAATTGTTGTCTAAGAAATTTCAGGCAGGGTAGATATTATTTTTTCTATTTTATAGAAGGTAAAACTTGGAGACTTTAATTGACTTGGCCAAGTTCAAACAGGTGGTGAGGTGTGGATGGGAAGTCAGTTCTTTTGATCTTTTTGACTAGTGTTCTTTCTATCGAAATGAGATATTAATGGGAAATCTGTGTGGAAAATAGTGTGCCTATGAAAGAATCTTGCGGTCCCAATTTTGAGAACTACTTTGTTATCTTTCATCCTCATTTATAGTATTCATTGTCTAAATTTCTCTTAGTGTGATAGTAGAAAAATAATTTTCATTCTTTATTGACTTATAAATATAAAAGGTAAGCTTAAGCCACTGACCAAACTGAATGGAAGTAGACTGCATTTTCAGTTTAGAAACCTAGTCTGTCTTCTACAGAATCGGAATGAATATATTGCTCACCTCAAGGACCAATTGCAAGAGCTGAAGGCAAAAACCAACTTGGAGAATCAGTATATGAAAAGAAATACTGAGCTGCAGATTGCCCAGACCCAGAAAAAATGTAACAGAACAGAGGAACTCTTGCTGGAGGAGATTGAGGTAATCCCTGCTACATTAGGAAAAGAACCAAGTAGATGGCATTTGAGCTGTCACTCCCCATATTGTCTCAGCTAACAAAGGAAGAGGGAGATTTCCCTCCATGTATCTTTCCAGTAACTGCCCCCCCTCACACTTGAGATTGAAAAGAAAAGCCTAAATGAAGACTTGCATATTTGCAAGCAGAGATTCTGATGGGCTTAATCCTACATCTCTTGCTTCTCTTACAATGACTTTGCAAATTGGTTGTACTTTCTCCCCTTAGTCATTTTATTCTTATTTTATAAAACCACTAGCCATTTATTTTTCTTTCTTTCTTTCTTTTCTTTCCCTCCTTCCCTTCCTTTCCAATGTTTTTGAAACAGGGTCTCACTCTGTTGCCTGGGCTGGAGTGCAGTGACATCAATCATTATAGCTCAGTGCAACTTCAAACTCTTCCGGCTCAAGCAATCCCCCTGCCTCAGCCTCCTGAGTAGCTGGGACTAGAAGCACGGACCACCATGCCCAGCTAATTAAAAAAAATTTTTTTTATTAATTTTTTATTTGGTAGAGACAGGGTCTTCCTATGTTGCCCTGGCTGGTCTCAAACTTCTAGCCTCAGGCTACCCCCCTACCTTGGCTTCCCAAAGTACTGGGATGATGCCATTTCTCTTAGTAATTATAAGGAGAGGGCAAAACCAGGTACGTAGTAACTGCAGTTTTTTGCTTGCTGCTGATATCATCCAACCAGTAACTTTTAGCCCTCCAGTAAGAAATACAAAATCTAGAGAGCTGAACTTCATTTCAAACCTAAATTTATAGAGATGAGATGTCACAGTGAAAAATATCAGGAGAAAGAAAGAAATGGTAGACCTTTTCATTGGAGGAGGAATGCTAGATGGCTAAAAGAACAACAGGCAAAGCTGGGCATGGTGGTGCAGTAGTCCTAGCTATAATACTTAAGAGGCTGAGGCCAAGACAGGAGGATTGCTTGAGGCCAGGAGTTCAAGGCCAGCCTGGGCAACATAGTGAGACCCTTGTCTCTGTAAGAAAAAAAAAGGACAACAGAAAGGACAACAAGCAATTATTCCCCAGGTGTGGCTTGAGACCATGGTGACACTCTTTTTTCTTGTACTCTGGAATTTCCATTTCTAGGCCTAAGAACCTTGTGCACTTAAAGTATCGTTTCTCTCCTTAAATGGGAATCACTTTCCAGGTAACAGGATTGTGGTCCTCTTGTTGGGGGGTACTCGCACGTATCTAGCACACTGCCAGCCACGTGGCTTAACAATGTTTGTGAACACGAATTGCGTTGAACTGAACTGAATGACAGCGCTAGAGCAATTCTGTGGAATTCTTGGGATCCCAGCTGGTAAAGGAAACCTGTGCTGCTGTCCAAGCTGCACCTCTAATCTGAAGAATTTGTGATTCCGACCCCTGTCAGGGAGAATTCCTTGTATTTGATTGTCGTTCTTACAGAAAATAAGAATGAAAACTGAAGAAGAAAACCGGATTCATATGGAGATTGAAGTGTTCCTTAAAAAAGAGCAGCAGGTAGGTTACCAAAACTTTTTTATCCTCTGATTTTTTTGTATTCCACTTACAAAATACCAAGGAGAGCAAAAAACATTTTTTTTTTGAGAAAACATTATTACAGTTTTTCTACGTTGGTCAAAAGAATTTTTTTTTTTTTTTTTGAGACAGAGTCTTGCTTTCTCACCCCAGGTGGAGTGCAGTGGCATCATCATAGCTCACCACAACCTCAAACTCCTGTGATCAAGTGATCTTCCTGCTTCAACTTCATGAGTAGCTGGGACTGCATGCAGGCAGGCCATAATGCCTGTCCAAAAAAATTTTTTTAAAGGAAAGACAAATCCACCATAATTCTTCCAGCCTAATGAACATGTTCTTTCAGAGTTATCCATCTGAATAGATATTTTATATAGCTGTAATTTAAGTAAGTACAGGTAAAATTTTGTTATCTGCCTGTATAATTTAGCTTATATAAAAAACTGTTTTCTTATTCCTATATTGCTTTATAGTCATAGTCATAGTTTAAAAATAAAATTTACTGAATTTTTTAAATTATAAAAATAACATTTTCAGGCCAGGTGCGGTGGCTCACGCCTGTAATCCTAGCACTCTGGGAGGCCAGGATGGGCAGATCGCTCAAGGTCAGGAGTTCAAAACCAGCTTGAGCAAGAGCAAGACCCCGTCTCTACTAAAAATAAAAAGAAATTAATTGGCCAACTAAAAATGTATAGAAAAAATTAGCCAGGCCTGGTGGCACATGCCTGTAGTCCCAGCTACCTGGGAGGCTGAGGCAGAAGGATTGCTTGAGCCTAGGAGTTTGAGGTTGCTGTGAGCTAGGCTGACGCCATAGCACTCTAGCCCGGGCAACAGAGAGAGACTCTGTCTGAAAAAAAAAAAAGCATTTTCAGTTGAGGGAAGATTTTTAAAAATCACCAACTGCTTTTTCACCCATTTTTTTCATGTTATTAGAATCTCTTTATAAAATAATTTAAAATAGTTGTATAATGTTCCATTGAATGGTTATGCCATAGTCCAGCTATTACTCTTTATTTTCGATATTTAGGTTGTTTCCAAAGTTTTATTATAATGAATAATGCAGTAATGAAAGCTTTACCCAAAGAATTATTTTCTTCATTGCAGTTATTTACTAAAAGTAAATCTCAAGCATAAGATTATTATTTCAGAGAGACTGGTATTTTGTGACTCTTGATAAATGTTGCTAATACTTGCTAATCTATATTGCCATCAGCAATGTACGAAGGCAGTAATTTCAAGGTATCCTCAATAGTACTGGCCATTTTAAATATATTTTTTCTTTTTTTTGAGACAGAGTCTCACTCTGTTGCCTAAGCTAGAGTGGCTGTGGCATCAGCCTACCTCACAGCAACCTCAAACTCTTGAGCTCAAGCGATCCTTCTGCCTCAGCTTCCCGAGTAGCTGGGACTACAGGCATGCGCCACCATGCCTGGCTAATTTTTTCTATTTTTGGTAGAGACGGGGTCTCGCTCTTGCTCAGGCTGGTCTCAAACTCCTGAGCTCCAACAATCCGCCTGCCTCGGCCTCCCAGAGTGCTAGGATTATAGGCGTGGCCACCACTGCCCAGCGTTAAATATTTTCAAAAGTCTGCTAATTTAATGAATTGTTTTATTTTCATTTTAAACTTACTAGTAGAACTGTACAGAACATTTTTCTTTATATTTACTCAATTTATTTCCCCTTGTGTGAATTATATGTGATGGAAGTGGCCCTCTTGAAGGCAGAGACCTTTGCCGAGGTGCCCTGGGCCAGAGCTGGCTTATAGCTAGATGGATAAAGCTGGCAAGCAGGGAACTGTGGACCTGACTAAACAGTCCCCCCCTCCAAGTCCCCCCTCCCACCGCCATCAGGATGAGTACTCAATTTTATGAGATGGATTTCTTTTTCAATGATGAAACATTAAATACATTAATAGATTCGCTTATGTTGAGTAATCTTTAAATTCTTGGGATAAATCCTACCAGGTTTGACAAACAAGAATCCTCCTGTGGGCTGGGCGCAGTGGCTCACACCTGTAATCCTAGCACTCTGGGAGGCTGAGGTGGGCGGACTGCTGGAGGTCAGGAGTTCAAAACCAGCCTGAGCAAGAGCGAGACCCCCGTCTCTACTATAAATAGAAATTAATTGGCTAACTAATACATATAGAAAAAAAAAAAATAGCCGGGCATGGTGGCGCATGCCTGTGGTTCCAGCTACTCGGGAGGCTGAGGCAGCAGGATTGCTTGAGCCCAGGAATTTAAGGTTGCTGTGAGCTAGGCTGAGGCCACGGCACTCACTCTAGCCTGGGCAACAAAGCGAGACACTGTCTCAAAAAAAAAAAAAAAAAATCCTCCTGTGGTGGTATCAGTAAAACCTGTTGGTGAATGAATGCCACTGAGTGTCCCATACACCTACCTTACTCTAGGAACAAGAGACAAGTCCACACTGGAACCTGTCATGTTCCTCCAGCGCCCTCTACTGACAAAGTTTACCATTTTGCTCTCTGGCTATATTAATAGCAAGCATCCAGTTTCACAAAGCAAGGCAGTGAAGGATTAATTCGGAGCTGAGGCTGGGCGAGGTGACTCACGTCTGTAATCCTAGCACTCTGGGAGGCTGAGGCGGGAGCGATCGCTTGAGCTAAGGAGTTCAAGACCAGCCTAAGCAAGAGTGAGACCTCGTCTCTACTAAAAATAGAAACAAATTAGCCAAACAACTAAAAATAGAAAAAAAAAAAAATTAGCCGGGCATGGTGGCACATGCCTGTAGTCCCAGCTACTTGGGAGGCTGAGGTAGGAGGATCGCTTGCGCCCAGGAGTTTGAGGTTGCTGTGAGCTACAGTGACACCACTGCACTCTAGCCAGGGCAATAGAGTGAGACTCTGACTCAAAAAAAAAAAAAAAAAAAAATTGGAGCTGAGAGGCAATAAATTGATAACTGACACAAATAGGGATTATTTTTTCTTTTATCATTAAGTATGAGGTTTTTACTCTAGGTTTTGGTAGATAAACTTTATCAAGTTAAGGAAGTTTCCTTTTGGTCTTACCTTGCTAAAAGTTTTTTTTTTCCTTATCAGGATTAGTTCGCAATTTCATGAGATAGATTTTTTTCATCCATTGTGCTGATATAGTTTTTCTCCTTTAATATGTTAAGTAAGTAACACATTAATAGATTTGCTAATGTTGAGTCATCTTAAAATTCTTAGAATAAACCTTACCTGGTTATAATGTATTATTCTTTTAATAGACTACTAGAATTGATTTATAGATTTATTTTGTATTTGATAAGTAAGATTAACCTATACATTTCTTTTTTGGTGCTGCTTTATTGTATGGCTATCAGAGTTATGCTAGCTTGGCAGGACGAGCTGGAAGCTTCCCATCTTTTTGTGGTCTGAAAAACAAATTATTTATCTGTTCCTTGAAGTTTGGTAAAATTCAGTCATAAACAATTTTGTCTGGATATCTTTTTTTTAAGGGGAGATATTTGACTATCTTTTCAACTTTTAAAAAATGATTATTGATCTCTTCATTTACCTCTTTTTGAGTCATTTTTTTTTTTTTTGGTAACTATGTCTTCCTAGAAAATAATCCATTTTCACCTAAATACTGATTTCAAATTTATTAGTATAAAGCTTTGCTCTATAGCCTCTTTTTTTTGTTTTTTTTTTTGAGACAGAGTCTCGCTTGTTGACCAGGCTAGAGTGAGTGCCGTGGCGTCAGCCTAGCTCACAGCAACCTCAAACTCCTGGGCTCAAGCAATCCTTCTGCCTCAGCCTCCCGAGTAGCTGGGACTACAGGCATGTGCCACCATGCCCGGCTAATTTTTTCTATATATATTAGTTGGCCAATTAATTTCTTTCTATTTATAGTAGAGACGGGGTCTTGCTCTTGCTCAGGCTGGTTTCGAACTCCTGACCTCGAGCAATCCGCCCGCCTCAGCCTCCCAGAGTGCTAGGATTACAGGCGTGAGCCACCGCGCCCGGCTTAATATAGCCTCTTAACAGTTTTCAAATGTCCTTCATTTTTGTAGTTATATCATCTTTTTCATTCTTTATTTTTTAAAATTGTGTCTTCTTTCCCCTTTTCTTATGAAAACTTGTCAATGGTTTGACCATTTTATTGGTCTTTACAAAAAAACCTCCTCCTTTGCATTTATTGAACAAATCTGCTTTTTTCTCTGTCACATTGGTTTTTGCTTTGAGTAATTTTCTTGTACTTTCTTTAAGTTTATGTTGCTAATCTTTGTCTAGTTTCCTAAATGCTCAATTCATTTATGTTCAACTTTTGTTATTTTTTACTAATAATACATGCATGTCATCCAATATATTTTCTAAGTGTGTTTGGCTATGATTTACAGGTTTTGATCTATAATGCTTACATTGTCATTCCTTTCCAAATGACTTGTAATTTACAGTTTATTTATTTTTTAATTCAAAAGTTATTTAAAAGAATATTTCTTAAATGTCCAAGTAGATGGAGTTGGTGAGGAAAGACTATAGGCTTTCTATTCACAACAACCCTTTGATGTTTGTGCTATTAACCTCGTAACAACCTTTTGAGGTTTATACTCTTATTGTCTTACATTGTGGTATCAGAATGTGAGTGTAAGATTTATGTTTTTGGAATTTGTTGAGCTCTTATTTGGGCTTAGGGTTATGGTAAGGTCATGTTAATATTTCATGTATTTGAAAAGAATATGTATTCTTTATTAGGTACAAAGTTGTATAAATGTCTGTTAGTCTAGCTGTCAAATTCTTCATTTTGTTACTTATTTTGGTATACCTGAGCTATTGATTTCAGAGAAGTGTGATTGTCTCCTAAGATGATTATGGATCTGTCAGTATTGTATAGTATTTCTTGTATAGTATATATATATTTCTTGTATAGTATTGCTAATAATTTTTACTTTATATATTCCAAAACATATTAGAATATAAAGGTTGATAACTGTAATATCTTGTTAATAGGGTATGTTTTTTATCAGTATAAAATATCCCTTTTTGTCTCATGATTTTTGGCTTGAATTCTATTTTACAAGATATTAAATTCCCAAACCTGCTTTCTTTTTGCTCTGGTTGTTTTGGTTTAGCCCTAGTTCTTATAAGTAATACATAGCTGGATTTTTTAAAAAAAGAAAAAAGAGAGAGGTTTTCTTTTGATAGGGGGTAGAACGGGCTGAATTTTTATGTCCCCCCAAATCCATATATTAAAATCCTAATCCCCAAGGTGATAGTACTAAGTGAGGCCTTTGAGAAGTGATTTGGTCATGAGGAGGAAACCCTCATCAATAGGATTAATGCCCTTATAAAAGAGACCCCAGAGAGATTCCTTGCCCATTCCACCATGTGAGGTTAAAGCTAAAAGATGGAGTCCAGGAAGCAGACCCTTACCAGACATGGAATCTTTCAGCACCTTGATTTTGGTCTTCCCAGCCTCCAGAATTATGACAAATAAATTTCTGTTGTTTATAAGCCACCAGTCTATGGTATTCTGTTATAGCATCCTAAATGGACTAACATGGGAATTTATTCCAGTTAACTTTTATTGTGATTTTTTTCACTTGTTTGTATTTAATTTTTCCATCTCATTTTATGTTTCCTGCTTTTCAAGCTTTCTAGTTGTTTCTTTCCTTCTTAACTTTTCTTGGATTGATGGAATTTTTATTGTTTAATTTTTTGCTTTCTAGTATAAACTTCAGTTGTTTGCATACCACTTTCACAGTTTTATAGTATCTGCATACCACTTGTGTTATTGCTTAATATTTTCTACCTAATTACTCACCTAAACAACTAAATAAATCCTTACTATAAAAGGAAAGCTTGCCATAAATAGAAATTAATATAAATAGAATTATAATAAATACCAAATGATGTTAATACATTGTAACCAGACTCTCTTGCCTGTCTGCAGCCTGTTCCCTCTGTTGAAAAAAAAAGTGTTAACAGGAGTAAGAGAGAGATGTAAGAGATTTGATAGCACCAAACTGACATGTTCTCTCTAACTTAATCAGAATGATTGACTATGAATCATATTTTTAAAAAAATTCTATGCTATGTACCACCTAAGTCACCTCTTAATGTCTCATTCTTGAGGTGTATAGCCTAGGAGTTTGGAAGTTATACATTTCTGTTCTTTAATGGTAATCTTAAAATTGTTTTTCTGTAAAGTACAAAAAACATGAAACACTTCATGAATCTGCCTGTCATCCTTGTGCAGGGGACATGCTAATCATCTCTGTATCATTCTAATTTTGGTATATGTGCTGCCAAAGCGAGCACAACCCTAAAGATTTTAACATGTATTTACACTTTTTATTTCTCTTAAATCTAGAGTTAATCAATAGCTATACCTTCTTGCCTTTATTAAGGCAAAACCTCACTTACCTCTTCTCTTCCTCTCCTACATTCCATGATGAAATTATTTGTGTGTGTATATATATATATGTCTCTCATATATATGCATTGTACTATGTGCTTTACAGGGTTTATGTTATTTGAGCCTCACAACAACCCTTTGAGGTTTGTACTGTTACTGTTTTGTAGATGAGGGAACTGGAGGCTTAGAAAATTTAAGTAAACTTTGAGTACCAGAGTTGGGATTTGAACCTACACAGCTACCTTTAGGGTCTGTGCTCTTTCTATTAGACTGTACTGCCTACTTTGGGATTTTAGTTCTAGATTGTGATTTATTACTAAAAAGTATCATATATTTGTACCCTCTGAAATACACAAGAAAAAAATAAGAAAAAGGTATCATGTATTATATAGCTTAAATATACATTTTATTGGTTTCTCTCCCATTTCATTTTATTTTGCTATAGTACATTCTCGAGTAACTCTTTCAGAAAGATTGGGTATAGTGTTTCTTTCCCTAACATTTGAATGCTAGGTTGGCTAGGTATAGAATCTTAGAATCACATTTTATTTTAGAATTTTAAGACATAGCACCCTTCTTGACTAATACTTAGTGCTGTCAAAGAGATGTTTCATGCTATTCCTTATCCTTCAGACTTTTCTTCCTACTTTTTACTTCTTCTTCACTGCAACTTCCCTTATCCTGACATCTTGAAGATCCCCCTCCCCCAATTTTAAGTTGAGTAACACACAGTAAAGTGCATTAATATTGAGTGTGTAGTTTGATGAGTATTTCTGTATATACACCCATATAACTACCACCCAGATAGAAAATTTACAGTTTCCCAGAGGTCTCACTCATGCCCCATTCCCAATCAGTAACCCAACCCTCCACTCAGGTAAGTCACCACTGTTCTGACTTCTATCACTATAGAAAAGTGTTGCTTGTTCTTGAACTCTATATGAATGGAATCATAAGGTATATACTGTTTTATGTCTGGTGGATACCATGTTTTAATGTTCTTTCCTAATAGAAACTTGAGGAGAAGCTAGAGTTCTGGATGGAAAAATATGATAAGGACACAGAAATGAAACAGAATGAACTAAATGCTCTCAAAGCTGCAAAGGCCAATGACTTAGTACGCCTTCAAGATCTTGCAAAGACGGTAAGGAAGTAGTAAGGGTACTCACTGAGGAGTGAGTGGTAGCTAAGCTGGGTAATGCTATTTTTGGTCAAAAGTGGAGGGGTGCCTGTAAACCAGTGGGACTGATTTTTGATGATGACGATGACCACGACAATAGCAGAAGCTAACACTTACATATGGCTTATTCTGTCCCAGACACTTTTCTAGTATTTTACACATATAACTTATCTAACCCTCACAACCCCTTGAGATAGATACTATTATTTCCACTTTATGGTCTCTGAACATAATTCATAAATGATAATTTCCAAAAAGCTTCTGATTATGGTTTTATCATTGAATAAGTATAGAATTTCCCAAATTTCTCTTTTATTTATTTATTTATTTTTTAAAGACAGGGTCTTGCTTTGTTGCCCAGGCTGGAGTAGAGTGACACGACTAACTCATTGCAGCCTCCAACTCTTAGGCTCAGGTGATCCTCCTGCCTCAACCTCCCCAGCAGCTAGGACTACAGTCATGTGCCATCATGCCCGGTCCCAAATTTCTCTTTTATTTTTTTTTTTTGAGATAGAGTCTCGCTCTGATGACCAAACCAGAGTGCTGTGGTGTCAGCCTGGTTCACAGCAACCTCAAATTCCTGGGCTCAAACAATCCTCCTGCCTCAGCCTCCCAAGTAGCTGGGACTACAAGCATGCACCACCATGCCTGGCTAATTTTTTCTATGTATTTTTAGTTGTCCAGCTAATTTCTTTCTATTTTTAGTAGAGATGGGGTCTTGCTCTTGCTCAGGCTGGTCTCAAACTCCTGACCTTGAATGATCCTCCCACCTCAGACTCCCAGAGTGCTAGGATTACGGGCGAGAGCCACCACGCCTGGCCAACCAAATTTCTCTTTTAAAAGACAGCTGCTGGCCGGGCGCGGTGGCTCACGCCTGTAATCCTAGCACTTTGGGAGGCCGAGGCGGGCGGATTGCTCGAGGTCAGGAGTTAGAAACCAGCCTGAGCGAGACCCTGTCTCTACCAAAAATAGAAATAAAATTAATTGACCAACTAAAAATATATATACAAAAAATGAGCCGGGCATGGTGGCGCATGCCTGTAGTCCCAGCTACTCGGTAGGCTGAGGCAGGAGGATCGCTGAGCCCTGGAGATTGAGGTTGCTGTGAGCCAGGCTGACGCCACGGCACTCACTCTAGCCTGGGCAACAAAGTGAGACTCTGTCTCAAAAAAAAAAAAAAAAAAAAAAAAAGACAGCTGCTATTTGTATATGTACATTCTACCAAAGCTTTTAAAAAACAATATTATTTGAAGACACTAATCACACATTGAGTTAATTAGTATCTCACTTTTATGAAAGATTTTCTTACTTTTTACACACACACACACATACCCTTTATGAAAGATTTTAAAACTTAAATTTGAATTATTCAAACTGAAAAATTTGGGAAACAATTATAAAATTAATGTGAGAATATATATAATCTAGGAATCCAGTAAGTTTTTTCTTTTCTTTGGTTCATCTTTAGATTTAGCATGTTTTATTTTAAAATTTTATGTTAAAAGTACAGGGCTGGCTGGGCCACAGCTTAGCCAAGAGAGTACTGTAATATATGATTAATGTCTACTTTTGCAGATAAGGGAGTATGAACAGGTCATCATTGAAGATCGTATAGAAAAGGAAAAGAGCAGGAAGAAGATAGAACAGGATATGTTGGAATTAAAGAGCATCATAAAGGTAGGAAACTATAATCGGTATCCTGGGGCCCCATCAGTGCCATAGCTAGCCTAACACTGAGGAACGCAAAGCATTTCTTGTTCATGTATCAAACACATAGCAGTTTACCGCACAACAGATCTGCGAAGAAGCATCCCCTTTTGTTGTTATTGGAATGTGACACCACAGTCCATAGTGCAGGGAGACAGTTAACATAGAAAAGGACATGCCTCCAGCTCTTACTCTGGGGAAAAAGAGGTGGTTAGTAGTGGAAGCAAAACCTAGGTGTAGAGGTCAAATATAAGAATATTATTTCTAATCAAAACCAGCTCTTGACAGAATTTAATATCCTATTGCTCCTTAAAATCCTGTTTATAAATCAGCCCCAGACTATCTGCTGAATTCTGATACAAGTTCCTTTTAAAAAAGGTGGAAAGGATAGGCAGCAGCTTAGACAAAAATAGAGAGATTTTAGTTTTGTGTGAATTTGTATATATTAATAATGATGAAACTGGCAGGTCACAGATCCTGCAAAATATTTTCAAGCAAAAACTGTAATGCAAAAAAAGTATCAGCTGTACTGAAACTGTTGCCTGGAGAATGGCCCTTCTCTCTGAAGGCTGAGACCCTAGTGGGCAAACTGTAGTTTGGCGTGTATACTGGGGGGTGTACTGAAAAAGTAAATTTTAAAGTACATTCAGGACCAGGTAGCCAAACCAAGTTTGAGCTTTTCATTAGGAAAGAGTCAGATATATACATAGCAAGTATTTCTATGGTATTCTCCATTTGTCAGGATTCCAGGTTTAGAGAAAAAACATAAGGTCTAGCTGAAGACCACTTCTATTTTCTTTTCACTAGTCGATTTGCTTCTAGTCTTTAGGGCTTAGTCTGATTTTAAAGTAGCCTAGACTGTATTGAGAACAGTTGTTATCTAACAACTAAGATATTCAACAGAGCTATCTAAATTCTTTCTTGAAGAGAATTGACCCTGTAATCAATTACTAAAGATATGAAATGCACCAGGAAGCTACTGAAGTCACCTAGGTTTATTTGTGCATTTTTGACTGAGTACTTTTGTCCTTGGCCTATGTAAATAACATTACTTTACTTTGGGATCAGCTAGTTATTAGGTATGGGGAACCTAGATGTTCATTAAGGGAATAGAACATGGAAGTCAGGTCTCTAAGTATGAAGGAAAAATTGGCCTACTCCAATTCCTTTTATTTTTATTCCTTGAGTACTTCATTCTTGAGTCCAGAGCTTAAGCTCTGGGTCCCGCACAAAAGGGGAGCATCACTGTACCAATTAAGGGGCCTGGCCACTTCCATGTCCCAGACAGAGACCATTCTTCAGACAGAAGTTACATTATCAGACAATCCCTTTAGGTGGAAAGAACGCAGCTTGTCACGTATACTATAAGTTGTACTCACTCCTCCTTTCTCCTCCAGCTCCAGTCCTGGTGGCGAGGCACTGTAGTAAGAAGGGAAATTGGTACTTTCAGACTGCCTAAGGAAAGAGAAGATAGCAAGGATTCAAAAGGTAAAGGCAAAGACAAGGATAAGCGGAAAGGCAAGAAGTGACCAAGTTATCGTTTGTACTTTCCTCTGGTGTTCTGGAGATGGGAATGAGGACTTGGAGGGAGTATGAAGCATCTTGTACCATCACAGATAACTCACCTACAGGTTGTTTCTTATTTGACATTCCCAGAGGAAGCCTGCTGCCTTCACTTTGCCTGTTATATTAGTTTTCCAACCCTGAATTCGGTTTATACCATCAATTTAGGGCATCCTCATATTTTGAACTTTAGTGGGAAGAAGTGTTTCTGGTAGCCTTGTGAACATTCCTCTTGCTCTTTCTCACTGGAAAAAAGTTCATGGACTTAGTTACAGCGAAGCATTAAAACTTCAGTAATTCATGTCTCTGATTCTGATTTTATCCAATTTGTCAACCTCTTATGAGCAAAAGTGAAGTGTTCAGAAAGAATTACAAGATGATGTTTATCAAGTGTCTAGCATAATACATACCTAGTAACATTTTAATCAATGTTGGTTCCTGCCTGCCATTTAGATTTATTATCACTTTAGTGGTTTCCTTTGGGTGGGGGGCCGGAATTTTGCTTGCTTTGTGACCTGGGCTAGAGTGCTGTGGCGTCAGCCTAACTTACAGCAACCTCAAACTCCTGGACTCAAGCAATCCTCCTGCCTCAGCCTCCTGAATAGTTGGGACTACAGGTGCATGCCACCACGGCTGGCTAATTTTTTTCATTTTTAGTAGAGATGGGGTTTTACTCTTGCTCAAGCTGGTCTCCAACTCCTGAGCTCAATCCTAAAATGCTAGGATTACAGGTGTGAGCCACCGTGGCTGGCCTTTTTTTTTAAGACAAGGTTCTCACTCTGTTGCCTGGGCTAAAGTGCAGTGGTGTCATCATAGCTCACCACAGCCTCAAACTCTTGGGCTTGAACGACCCTCCTGCCTCAGCCTCCTAAGTAGCTGGGACTATAGGTGTGTGCCACTACACCTGGCTAATTTTTCTATTTTTTGTAGAGAAGGGAGTCTATGTTGCATAGGCTGGTCTCAAATTCCTGACCTCAAGTGATCCTCCCACCTCAGCCCCACAAAGTACTAGGATTACAGGCATTAGCTACTGCACCTGGCCATCACTTTAGTGTTTTATTGAGGTGGGGAGGGTGGCATGGAATACACATCCTATTATAAGTTGCTTCAGTGACTTTTCTGGGAAATAGGTAGGGATACAAATTATAAATACAATACAGAAATGGGATGTAAGAATATACAATTTAAAAAATAGTAAAGTTGAGGACAGAGATTCTCTTGAAGGTTAGCTTGGAGATATTTTTGACAAGTGAGACACTAGGGTCTATAGCTGCTTTGCTTACTGAATAATTCCCACTTTATGGGGTGTTAAGACTAATAGAGATAAGGTTATGTGAAAATACCTAACCTGTACCTGAAAATACCTAACCTGTACCTGGCACATAGTAAAGCTGATTAAGTGTCTTGTCATTCTCCTTCTTCTCCTAAAAAAGAATAAACCAGCACTAGGTCATTCTTGCCTTAAGCAAAATAGAATGTCTTGGGATGCTAAAGATTTCCCAATGGCACAGCTGGTAATTTCTGAGAGAAAAGTTGTCCTAATGTATCACATACATCTCATGAATTAAGCCTCCATCTAATTCCAAATACAGGGCAATCTTGTTATCTGTACTTCCTTAAAAAAGTAAATTTTGATTTCAAAGGCCTATTATGAAGACCCAGTACTGATGTTCCTTTAGGGAATCAGATACCCATTCCTTGATTCATCTTTGCCAAGGGAAATATGCAAAGGTATGAATATTTGCAAATCAGCCTTTATTAGCTGGGCATGGTGGCATGCGCCTATTGTCCAAGCTACTTGGGAGGCTGAGGCAGGAAGGCCGCTTGAGGCTAGGAGTTTAAGGCCCGCCTCATTATATTTAATGAGACCCTGTTTCTAGAACAACAGCAAAACAAAAAGCCAAAAACCAAACCAGCCTTTATTACATGCTACTGAAGTGTTGGCTTTTATTTTAATATCAAGGTGTAAGGTGGCAAATAGGCAATTTAAAATAACATACATGATATTGACATATTTATACTTAGAACTTATGCAATATATTTACAGACATACAAATTATAGGACAGTTTTACAAAATCCTTTAGTAATTACATGTTTACCACATTTTCAGAAATAAAATGAAATCTGCTGTAAACCATTACTGCAATGTGTATATAAAAAGGCTTCTAAATATCCATGTTTCCTTCATTTCTATAACCATTTAAGTGCTTAGTTTTTAAAAATTCATGAGACTCATCAGCATAGTCACACATTATTAGTCACTGCTGAGCTGTAGAAAGAGAAATCATACACTCCTTGATTAGCTGTAAGGCTGTATTTTGAAAAGCTATTAAAGAAAGTGACCTACAACTAAGCATTTTGCTACTCTGTATTCTAGCCAAATACAAAGGCCCTTCCTCCCATGAGTTGTTTCCAGACTTGCATATTAAAGGAGAAAATTGGGTTGGAGTGCTAAACAGAGTTGAGTTTGAAAGCCTGGAAACTGCAGACATAAAATCTCTGTAGGTGGCAGGGGGCCTGCCCTGTTGGGGGAACTCACAGCCTGTTCACACTTTCAGTGTTGGGAAGGTCACTATTTCTGGTCAGAGGGAACTGTCACAAGGTCATCATCACCTTACACTAGAGTCTAGGAAGGCTAAATGTTAAATTGAACTGGTTCTTTCCAGTTTTAAAAAAAAAGGTACATAAAAAGCAGTGAATAGAAAAATTCTCCAACAAATGCATCATGACTTATTTTTTGCATCTTGACATAGAAAAGAAATTCAATATATTTGATATTTTTCCTCCATTATCAACCAAAACTATACCAACTTTTTTCTAACAACACACAAATTTGAATTAGTTTGATAAAAACACATTAATAAGGTTTCATGTTATGTGCAAAATATTTTAAAATAAATTGAGATTTCCATTTATTTCTATGGGAAAATCACTTGCAAATGTTGCAAGTATTGCATTATGTAATGTCTCCTGGAATTATTCCTTGCATAATATGTTAAAAACAGTCCTGTCCTTTGCTGAGTTTCCATTTCTGATGGCATATAATTTGGAGATTATACTGAAGTTTAATGGTGACTAGAAGGAAAAATACCTATAGTTTAAAAACACACACAGCTAAATTCTAAACCGTTACATGGTTGGTGGGTCTGTTTGGAACTGTAAATATAAGGGGGTCCAGCTCTAAGCACTTATAAGACAATTAAGTTTTTTTTTTTTTTTTTGAGACAGAGTCTCACTTTTGTTGCCCAGGCTAGAGTGAGTGCCGTGGTGTCAGCCTAGCTCACAGCAACCTCAAACTCCTGGGCTCAAACGATCCTCCTGCCTCAGCCTCCCAAGTAGCTGGGACTACAGGCATGTGCCACCATGCCCGGCTAGTTTTTTGTATATATATTTTTAGTTGGTCAATTAATTTCTTTCTATTTTTAGTAGAGACGGGGTCTCGCTCAGGATGGTTTCGAACTCCCAACCTCGAGCAATCCGCCCGCCTCGGCCTCCCAGAGTGCTAGGATTACAGGCATGAGCCACTGCGCCCGGCCGACAATTAAGTTTTGTTCTGTGAACACCATGAAGGATTGGGCTTTGACCTCAGATGTTTTATGTTATACAGTTTTAAACTGGGACAAAGTGGTAAAGTTCTGATGAACTTGTTTCTCTGCAAGAACTAGGAAGAAAACATTACTTTGGCCAGACGCTCAACAAGATTTTATCCCAAACTACTTTTATTTTTCTTTTTATAGCCAGTCCAATTAGGAGTAGGGGGTTGTATACCAACTTTAGTGACACTAATATTAGCAAGTTCTGATAACCTACCATCAGACCAGCCCCAAACTACTTTTAGATGCTACATTTATGTGATAAAAAGAGGGATAACATTATGCTCAAACGCACACTGGTAAAGAAAATCCAGAACAGTTAACAACTACAAAAAAAACCCTAGATAATTAGTATCTTTCCTTACTCTGTTTACTTGGTTTACAAAAGCAGTGAACGGCAAGAGATATCACTGATAACTAAAATACACTGATAACTAAATGGTTTCAAATACAAGGGAAGAAAAACTCTAGTGGTTTAAACTTAAATAAAGGCTCCTGACTTTGTGTGTGAACCCTTGGGCCTTTTACTCCACCCTCAATTGAGTATGTAAGGCACTAGTGGTGGAGCCAGAGGGTGAGCTCAATGTAAAGACAGGAAGCTGTTTTTAAAATACCATAAGTGCTTTAATTTAGCCACAGAAACTGGCAGAAGCCTCAAAGAAATATAAGAAAGTTGGCTTTTCCTTTATTCCCTTTTGCTCTGTTGTCATACATTCCATTAGCTGGGGAGCTAGACGTATGTCTGCTGTGAAGGGAATGTGTCTGCAGGTCCAGGTGTCCTTGGAGCAGCGTTGGTGGTGGGGTGGTGGTGCTGGTGAGGGTGGCTTAATGAAATCAATGCAGATGTCACACAGTATCACATGTCAGCTTAAGGATTTGGAACCTGTGTAAGCGTGCTTGTTTATAATGTTTAGGTAACAGCAGGATGATACAGAGACCATCCTCGACCAAAAAACACATGACGCAGTGGTGGACTGGAGTTGGAAGGAAGCCTAGAACGTGGGCCTTAACCACTTCAGTACGAGCGTCGACTATAGTTGACAGCCACAGATAAACCGAGTGTCGACTTTAGCCGACAGCTGTGATATGACTTTTCCTTTTTTTTTTGAGACAGAGTCTCGCTTTGTTGCCCAGGCTAGAGTGAGTGCCATGGCGTCAGCCTAGCTCACAGCAACCTCAAACTCCTGGGCTCAAGCGATCCTTCTGCCTCAGCCTCCCAAGTAGCTGTGACTACAGGCATGCGCCACCATACCCGGCTAATTTTTTCTATATATATTAGTTGGCCAATTAACTTCTTTCTGTTTTTAGTAGAGACAGGGTCTCACTCTTGCTCAAGCTGGTTTTGAACTCCTGACCTCGAGTGATCCGCCCGCCTCGGCCTCCCAGAGTGCTAGGATTACAGGCATGAGCCACCATGCCCGGCCGACTTTTCTAATTTTTCATTTATCAAAATAAAATTGGGAACATTTAAAAATAATGTAATGAAAACATATATGTATATGTTACCTATTCTGATTTACATTACAAGTAAAGCTGCCTGTAAAGTAAAACAAACTTTCAGTGCTTTAAAGCTTTCCTCATCATACAAGAGCAAAACGGATTCATTGTCAATGCACAGCACAAACTATCGTGTGGACTGTGAGTGCCGGCTGTGGACAAGGTTTTGCGGCCAATGAGCGCAGTACAGACATGGTTAAATACGACCATATCTGCTTCACTGTTTTAGTGTGCAAAATCTAGGCCTTCTTTATTATTTTTGTTTTGCCTTTGACAGAACAGTCCAAGTCATCACAATATAACTCTTAATTTTAAACGTGGCGGAAAAATACCACAAAACATACAAATATCTATCTTGGAACAGTGGTCTCCACTACATGAAAAATATCTGAAATGTGTTAAAAATGCAGATTCTTAGGCCACATTCCAGCCCCACCAAATGCAAATCTTTTTTTTTTGGAGACAAGGTCTTGCTCTGTCACCCAAGATGGAGTATAGTGGTGCGATCACAGCTCACTGCAACCTCAAACTCTGGGACTCCAGTGATCCTCTTGCCTCAGCATCGTAAACTGCTGGGATTGATTACAGGTGTGAACCATCACACCTGGCCTAAATCTGTATTTCAACAAATGCTCCGGGAGATTCTAATGAATGAACAAGTTTAGAAACCGGTGCACTGTAGATGTCTTGAGAACAGGTAATGATAATAACATGTTGTGCCTTCAAGAGAGCCAAGTATCTTCCTGAGAAGATATGCTTTTTGATATGTGAAATAAGCCTGCTCTCTGGGAAAGCACAGCCAGTTTAGGCTTTGGTGTTGGGGTCTCAGTAATAAGAGATATTTCATTTGAGAAAACCAACTATGTCTTCATAAAAAAATTCAATGGAAATGGATATAACCTCCCCTAAAATGGAGAAATGAAGCAAAATATTCCTGTCAGGAATCATGGAAACAGTCCCTTCTGAGAACACATAAGAGCTTTGTTTAAGCAGACATCGGGCAGCAGCAATCACGTTGTCCTGTTCCTTGTTTTGGCTAGGCCAACGCCAAGGTCCTGGGAGTCCTTAAACAGCAGATAACTGGTGCTGCTGTGGCTTGGGTGGGGCAAGTTCTAGGAGAGCCTGGACCGTCACTGCAACCTGGCTCAAACCTTTCTCTTCTAAAATGTGGAGAGGCAAACATAATTGCTCCTGAAATGGGACAATGTAAAATAAAAACAAACAAAAGAGAAAATAGTATGAACATCATAGAACTGAAAGAAAAAAATAAGCACTTCTTTTCCCTTTGGTAATAATCAACTAAGATATGACAAGTCCGTACCTGGGAAACAGACCTCTGATTTAGAGATGGTGTCTGACACTCACTATCATTTTATTAATACAACTAAAAGTACACACAGACCATTTTGAAAATTGGAAATTTGACAAGTAGTATACATTTATACATAAAACAGAGGAAGAACAGAATACTGTGGAGTGAAAGCAACATCCTTTATCCTTGATTTAAGTAAATGACCGATGCAGATCTATAAAATAGGTGAAAAACAAAAACAGTTCCAAGATACCAAATGGCTCAAGACTGAAAGATGTAACATTTCAGGAGAAAGCACTTTGTAAATTCCATGTCACAGGAATGCAAGATGGTTTCATGATATAACTCAGACTGCATGAGAAGAGATGTATTATAATCTGTATTACAATCCTGACTCTGAGAACCAGGTTCACAGACCAGACAAGGATCACAGGAAGAAACTCAGTGTATCCTGAGCTCTTGAGATTTAGATATATTTAAAAACCTTCCCCTTACTCCGAATAATTCACGGAAGGCCCTGTTTAAATTAGTTAAAAATCTGAATTACAGAATTAAAATGAAATTGTATTTGAAAAAGTATTTCATATCCTGGTATTTAATGGCTTGAATTATGCTAAAGAACTATTACATGAGTTTAATCAGGAACATCTTAATTACCAATATGTGAACAGTCTTTTACAATGCTTGCTTAAGGAAGTTATATATATCCATCTTGTGTGCCCCTTTAATTTTTTTGGTGGGCAAATCTTAAGAATGACAGTCATCACTGGTTTTTCTGTTAAGACTAAATATTCAGAAAGAAAAGACATTGCTCTCACAAACAGAAAGTAGCATTCTGGTTCCACTAAAAAAGAGATTATACATATTTAGTAGAGACAATACTAGGTTTTCTCTATTTTTCATTGGCATTCACTATGTCACTAGGAAGTTTTATAAAACCAGTTACAAAAGAAAAATATAACAAGTATTTATTTTTGAGGCAGTTATTGGTACTTGTGCTTCTTTTTATTTAATTCTTATTTTGATAAAACAAGGCAACTGATCTTTTGATCTAATAAAACTAGCAACTTTGTAGAAATACGTTGAGTATAACTGCAAATATAGATTAACTATACTAAAAATGAATCTGCATGGTGTTTTTCTCTTGGAAGAGACATATTTTCTCCAAGGCCGATTCCTTGATCTCTTCTCAGTAGTGCCCTGTGACCTGTGTAACCCAGTGGTTTAGACATTCCTCAGAGGCTTATGCTTTCTAGATGTACATTTACCTTCCAGCTGGGTTAGAGGGCATGCTTTGTGTTCTCAACTGCACACAAGCTTGTGTTTTTTTAAAGGGACAAATCTCCATAAAACTCTGAGAATGATCACGGACTCAGAGACATCTTAAAAATACAACAAACCCAAACTCCCAAATGCTAGAAGGCACTACTATTATAGAAAACCAGAGTTTTCGTCATCACAGTGTTTAGTGTTTTAACATTAACAGGGAATAGTCCCTTAATGTGTTAAATAACTATCCCATTTAATATGGAAGAAAACCAAAGCAATGAGACCCTCAGGCTGAATTCTACAACAGGATATTATGTTCACTGCCATCTCCCTTCATACTTGAGTTCAATTGTCCAATTGTTAACAGTTTAGAAGATTCCTGAATGTTCAGAAACACCATTTATGAGAACTAGAATCTGACTGCAATTAGAAGTAGTTTCATGCATTAATGTCCAGCAGCTAAATTACTAAGCATTCTGAAAGAGACAGACAACATTGTCTCTAGTACAGAACAGAGACTGCTGCCTAATACTTTACCTGCTAATATCGTAACAGCATATAAAATACAAGTTCATCTATTAAGATGGTTTGAATATATTTAAAATGACATAAATTACAATTTTAAATAGAATTCTAGAAGTGAGTCTCAGTTGAATATAACAAACATAGTAAATGTGGCCCGGTACCTACCCTGAAAAGTCAGCTCCAAATCGCTTGCTTGCTGTGTATTATTTTAAATATATACATTGGGCTCAGAATAGCAGTCTAGGGAACCTACAGGATCTTTGAACATTCTGACCAAATTAAAATTATTAAGATTAAATGGCCAATACCTTCCAAACATCTAGACAACAAATGCGTAGATGGACCCGTGCCTACCAATTAAAGGAAGAACTCAGTATTGCAGGACACAGTTCAATGGAGAAATCTAAGTGACCAGTTACCCCCTAAACCAAAAAAGGCACAACTATTTTCCTTATAAGCAGCTGTTGAAAACATTCAGCAACTTACAATTTCAACACTTTTGTTGTGTTGAGGCATGGAAAAATGGCCAGGTGGGGGTTTTACTGTGTCACTTTGAAATAAAGTTCTACATGTCATTTTCTAAGAACAAGTTCAGGATTATATTAGTAAAAATGCTTCAGCATTTATCATAAGATAAACAAAGCCACAGGCCAGGAAAATGAATGAATGACCAGGAGAAAAAACGCTGGTTTTTTACTCTTTGTAAGCAATCATAAATGTTTACTAATGTGATGGGCTGCCCATCTGTACCTATAAGGAACGGATTTATGTACTTTATTGGTTAACTCTTTGATGGCCAGGGAGGAAAAAAGCACATATGTAAATAATTCTGATAAGAAACAAACCTCCTTTACCAAGCACAGGAATGAGGTGGAAAATCACTGGAATGCAATCTTTCAGCTAGAGGGGGAAGATCCAGTAATAAAGCATACAGAGAGTTAACATCAAAGTGCAGTAAAATGCCACAAAACCCAAAAGTTGGAGAGACAGAGAGACAAAACTGGATTCTTCTGAATGTGCCCCAAGAGAAAGTAGTGTTTCAACAGTTCTTTTAACGCTGAGGTTTAGCTGAAGGATGTCAGAAGGGGAACAAAGATTGTCCTGTCCAAAGTGTAAGCAGGAAAGGAAAACAGAAAAACAAAGTCAGTGGATCAGAAATGCAGATTTGAGTATAGAATTCATTATGATCATTTGTCATATTCAAAGATACATGTCCTATAACATTTTTATTATGAGGAATGAAAATAACATGCTGAAAACCAAAACTACAAAGGATCTTCTGTTCTGAGCTTGATTTTGCTTCTAAATAGCAGAATAAAATTTAGTTGTTGGTGACTACTATGAACATTAAGGATACAGTTAACAGAACTGGATTGCTTTAAGGTTGTGTGAGGGCTCAAAGTAGCTCTTATAGGAAGGAACCTCTTTCTTGACCTTCATTCTTCCATATTAATAAAACACAGATAGATCAGAAAGCAAGGACAAAAATTGTGGCACGCTGAGGGAAGGGAAGTTTTCAGAGAAAGCCAGGTAAATCAAGAAGGGTCAAAGCATAAGGAAAGCCTAATAATCAGGGGAAATTTACTACCTAGAAAACAAATGTACCAAATGATTTGGTGTTCCTCTTAAAAATCAGGTAAAGTCCATCTTAACCAAGTCCAGTTCATTAGTATGTACAAAATGAATGTAGAGCTATAAGGGGCCTTAGAAATCATCCAGACCCTCCATTTCACAGACAAAGAAATTAAATAAATAAATAAAAACAATTTCTGGACTTTATAAAAGGGAAATATTCTTTAACACATAACATATAATAACTGTAGGACATAAGATATTAGACTCGAATAAGTTTTTAATTACCCATATAGTTTTTTGAACATAACATATTTAATAAAAGCATAATAATAAAATGAATACCCACTTGTCCAACCTCATCAGAGGTTTTTAATACTTGAATTATTCTTTAGTATTTCATTCATATTTTAACTTGTATAGCACTTTAAAAGTTATACTAAGAAAGGACATTGTTTGCCTTTATACATATTATCTAGGCATAGAATCTGACTAATATTTACAATGTTAAGTTTTCTGTTTTACATTTTCAAAAGTAATCATTATTACATCCACAATTTTCTTTTCAAGTCAAACAGAACAAGTGGGAATGGTTAGGTAAAGGCTAAAATGAGCAGAAGTAGGGGAGAACAAAGGAAAAAGAGGAGATAGAGGGAATTGAGAATAATTTGAACCTAAGACTTCAAGGGGTGTGGGGAGAGACAGAAAGAGAGAGGAGGAGGGAGGAGAGAGGAGAGAGGAGAGAGAGAGAGAGAGAGAGAGAGAGAGAGAGAGAGAGAGAGAGAGTGTGAGTCCGTGTTTTAAGAGATAGTGTCTAGCTCTGTTGCCAAGACTAGAGCGCAGTGGCCTGAACATAGCTCATTGTAATGAACAATGCCTGGGCTCAAGTGAACTTCCTGCCTCAGCCTCCCGAGTACCTAGGACTACAAGATGTGCACCACTATGCCTGGCTAATTTTGTAATTTTTGTAGAGACAGGGTCTCGCTCTGTTGCCCAGGCTGGTATCAACTCCTGGGCTCAAATGATCATCTTGCCTTGGCCTCCCAAAGTGCTGGGATTACAGCGTGAGCCATTGTGCTCAGCCAGATTTGTGTATTTATTCATTTTCCTTAACTTTGTTCTAGGCAGATGACTACTTTTTTAGCAGAAGTAGCAGCATAAATAGGAACCCATCTAAAACTGTTAGTGGTGGTGATGGTAGGGACTTGGGTGGAAGGCAGAAGGGAGAAGAGGTGGACTCTGTGGAATGTCCATTTCCTCTTTGTGGTAGCGGAGAAGGAGGAAGGATGTGTTAAGATCCCCAGTCTAACCACTCTGGAAAAAGACTCAGTCTTTTACAACTGTATTTTTTCCTGTCTCTGTACCTGCTTTCAAATAGCACAGCTCTGGTAGGAACAGGAGCAGGCTGGCCCATAATAAATACCATTAACTACGGCATGGCAAATGCTGGCTTAAATGCATGTTTTAGAGCACACTGACTAATGGCAGGAACATTCTGAAAGAATTCCAGTGCAGGGACTTTAAATCTAAGAGAGATGATGATTCTGTAAAGCCCAGTGGACAGGTAAAATGACTGTAATAGCTGATAATAGGTTTTGACATAGGCTAAGTCAGCATGTCTTACTTCTGTGGAGCCGTTTTTTGCAATTCTGTGTAAAGTGCCTCTCTGATCACGCAGATCTTTGCTGTGATTCCTAGTTTCTGTACCAACCTATGCCACACTGTCTTATCCAAAGACATTATTGTGGTATAGAACTAGAGCAAGTACTGACTATGTTTGTGTAAGTAGGAACATCTTCAGTATGCAGAAGGGAAGGAACTGAATGTTAATGTGCACATATGACTATTAGAAAATGTGTGTTATTTCTTTAGAAATCATATTTTAAATCCTCTCTTAAAATGTTTAATAATGATTTGTTCAAAAGATGACCAGCCTTTATAAAACAATATGATATACAAATGAAAAATTTGCAGCTCGGTATGGTGGCTCACACCTGTAATCCCAGCACTTTGGGAAGCAGAGGTGGGAGGATTGCTTGAGACCAGCCTGAGCAACAGCGAGATTCTGTCTAAAGTAGAAAAAATAAAAAAATAGCCAGGCATACTGGTGCATGCCTATAGTCCCAGTTACTTGGGAGGCTAAGGGAGAGCATTGCTTGAATTCAGGAATTTACGATTGCAGTGTGCTATGATGATACTACTGTACTCTAGCTGGGGACAAATTCAAAACAAATCTTTCATTGGCTTTGAATGAAAGATTTGCTTTGAATTTGTCCATAGAAACAAAAAGGTCTTTGCTAACTACACTTCATGTAAATTTCAGGGTTTTTTGTGTTTTGTTTTGTTTTTTTTAATAAAAAAAGACAGGGTCTTGCTCTGTTGCCCAGGCTGGGATGCAGTGGTGCAGTCATGGCTCACTGCAACCTCAAACTCCTGGGCTCCAGTTATTCTCTTGCCTTAGCCTCCGGAGTAGCTAGAACTGCTGGTGTGTGCCACCATGTCTGGCTAATTTTTAAATTTTTTGTAGAGATGGTGTCTCACTATGTTGCCCAGGCTGGTCTTGAACTCCTGGGCTCAAGTGATCCTCCTGCCTCAGCTTCCCAAAGTGCTGGGATTACAGGGGTGAGCCACTATGCTTAGCCTAAATTTCAGTTTATTTTATAACTCAGGTTAAAAAAAGAAAAAAATAGCAAAAGAAAAATGAAAAATAAACAGTGGAATGAACTACTTAATAAAAGAAGAAAAACAATCATGGGAATTCATGCTGACTAATGCAGATGCTCTATGAAACTGGACTCTTTCTCTTACACTTTGTAACATGTGAAAGCTGAAAGATAAGGTTGCTCATTGGACAAGTGATGCTGTGGCCTCACTTGTCAACTCCTGGTTAGTTAGAAAGAGGTATGCTGAACTGGGTAAAGAGAGTCATTGTCATGAAAGTCACGGGAACAAGGCCTTAACTTTGAGAGAAGTTCTGGGTTCAAGTGATCCTGCTGCCTCCGAAGTAGCTGGGACTACAGGTGTGTGCTACCCACACCTGGCTAATTTTTTCTATTTTTGGTATAGAAGGGGTCTCGCTCTTGCTCAGGTGAGTGTCGAACTGCTGACCTCAAGCGATCCTCCCATCTCGGCCTCCCAGAGTGCTAGGATTACAGGGGGAGCCACCTTGTGGGCCCAAAATTAATATTTTTAAAAGTATTAAAGCATATGTTAAACTGAAGCTAACTGTATCATTCTCAATCTGAGATACACTTATTTTGAAAGATAGATTTTTTATTTTATTTTTTTTTTGAGACAGAGTCTCCCTTTGTTGCCCTGGCTAGAGTGAGTGCCATGGCGTCAGCCTAGCTCACAGCAACCTCAAACTCCTGAGCTCAAGCAATCCTGCTGCCTCAGTCTCCCAAGTAGCTGGGACTACAGGCATGCACCACCATGCCCGGCTAATTTTTTCTACATATATTAGTTGGTCAATTAATTTCTTTCTATTTATAGTAGAGATGGGGTCTCGCTCTTGCTCAGGCTGGTTTCGAACTCCTGACCTTGAGCAATCCGCCCACCTGGGCCTCCCAGGTGCTAGGATTACAGGCGTGAGCTACCACGCCCGGCCAAGATAGATTTTATTGTAGACAAGTCAAATAGGAAGTGGGAAAGTTTAGAAAAATAGAATAATTATTTTAGATTAATGTAATTATTTAAATTTATATGTTTATGATTTCTTTGTATGGTCCTTAGAAATAAAAAAACTATTTAAAAGTATCTTGATTGACTCTCATAACACAAAATCAGAGCTGATACTGTCAGATTTTAGAGAGTTGCATTTCTGAAATTTTAGGACAATAATACCCAAATCTATTTAGGTAACATAAAAATGATAAATTTATTACCTGAGGTACACCAATTTTTCTGCAAGCTTCTAGGAAATTCTCCACATTTCGCCTGCATTTTGCCATTGTTAATTTAGGCTGCAATGAGAAAAATGTGGTATTAACTAGCAAAGTTTTAAAAATTTTGTTAAGTTTAAAAATACTCTTGCCAATTTCTTTGTACACTCACAATGCTGTAGAGCAGGGGGTCAGCAAACTTCTTCCTGACCTACGGGGTCAGGTAATGAATATTAGTTTTGAGGGCTATAAGAACTGTTACAACTACTCAATTCTGCTAGGAGCTTGAAAGCAACCACAGACAACATGCAAACAAATAAGTGTGGCTGTATTCCAATAAAATTTTATTTACAAAAATAGGTGCTGGCCTGTGGGCAGTAGTTTGTCAACCTCCCACTTTAGATATCTGGTTTTGATTTTGTGAGACAAATGCTAAGTAGAACAATTTGGGGGGGGGAGACAGTTTTTAAATGTGGAGGAAAAACAAAAACTTAATCATCCACAGTTCATCACTCAAATATAACCACAACACTTGGTTCATTTCTTTTCAGTCTTTTTTTTTTTTTTTTTTTTGAGACAGGGTATTATTGTTGCCCAGGCCAGAGTACAGTGGTGTCATCATAGCTCACTGCAACCTCAAATGCCCGGGCTCAAGCTATCCTCCTGCCTTGGCCTACTGAGTAGCCAGGACTATAGGTGCACACCACTATGCCCCGCTAAGTTTTTCTATTTTTAGTAGAGACAGGGTCTCATTTGTGCTCAGGCTGGTCTCCAACTCCTAAGCTCAAGGAATCCTCCCACCTCAGCCTCCCAGAATGTTAGGATTACAGGCATGAGCCACTGTGCCCAGCCGAACTTCCTTAGCTTTTGAATCTAGTAATAATATGTCCCCAAATGCCTTCCTTTCTCTCTGTATTGCTGGCAAATTCCCACTTACATTACAAAAATTAGTTCAAACTTTACTGCCTCTGGGAAGGCTTCCCTGAACTCTCAGGCAGAATTAAGTGACCCCTTTTTTGTATCGCAAAGCACACATCTTACACACTTATAACACTTATCATACTACTATAAGTTATTGTATACATGTCAGTTTTTTCTCTAGTAGAAGCGAGACCAGGAAGGCAGGTACTAGACTCTTCCTGTCTGTATCCCTAACATCCAGCACAATGCTTGCCAGTACTGTGCTTATTAACAAATGTCTTTTGTTTTTTAGCACTATAAACTATAAAAGTACCAATGTTTTTTAGCACTATAAACTTACCACAGCTGGTGAGGGAACATGAATGCTTGGGACTGATCGAGGTCGCACATGATTGGCCAAATGGCAAAGAACAACACCGTCGGTTAGAGCTGCTCCAAGATCACAAGGCAGAGATACTTTCAACCGGTACTCAATATGCTAAAAGAACAGAAAAATGTATAATATATTAATTGAAGAGTGATTGACACATAGGATATAATGGAGTTACAATAAAATATATTTATTTAGAAAGTAAGATACATGCTTCACTTGACCAGCCTAAAAAAAAAAAGATAAAAAGGAAATAAGTATCACAATATCTATTTCATCCTTTTATTCTAAATCAATAATTTAAGATCCAATATATATGTATGGCAGCCAGGCTACAGTAGTGCAAAGTAGATTCTCTTTCAATTCTAAAATAAGATACCAATCATTCACTATATATAAGTATGATAAGTATATGTATACATGTACATGCATATAAATTATTAGTATTCTTATAAGATTTCTTTATATCAAGAGGCAGAATGGAAAGAAAAACATTTTTAATGAATAGGGCCAGAAACTGAGCTTTATAGAATATAGAATATGTCATCTCACTTTCTAAGTATTAAACAATTGAAAAGAATTTCTTTAATAGCACAATTTCATTTACATTCGTCGCGAAACATAGCATATAACAGGCACTTGTTAATTCTATTAAAAATCACATGTTAAACGAAGAAGTGATTACAGGATTAGGGACTATCGCAATATCACTGAAAAAGTGTAGTTCAAAGGTAATGTACATACTTTCCGTAGCTGATCTATTAATTCCAGCTCTTCCTCTCTCTGTCTTGAATTCTGTCTTATTAGGGGGTCTATAGAATCAGTGGTAGGTGCAGAAGATGCAAGAAGGGGTGAAGCATGACCTAGAAAAATATTAATATGTAAGACAGAAAAATGACTGCTAGTGCTAAGAAAATATTCAGATCTGCCTTATCATGGTTTCCTTGCAAGTACAGTATAGCGCTCTCTACTTTCTGGGACTGACTTTTTAAAAAGGTTTTCTATTATGGAAAATTTTAAATATACACAGTTGAGAGAACATTATTAAAAAACTATGCAATGTCCTATATCCATTTGACTCAACTACTTTTTGTTTGATTACAACCATTTAAAGAGGTTTTTATTGAAAAATAATATACATATATCATAAAAATAACGCCCAATAAATTATCTTCACAAAGTGAACACAAATCAGTCTATAAATATAACATTACCAAATGCCAAGTCCCTCTCATGCTCCTTGCCCATCAGTACTCAAAGGTCACCAGTATCCTCACTTGTAACACAGCAGATTAATTTTGTTTATTTTTGAACTTTCTATAAATTAAAGCATATTGTCGTATCCTTTTGTGTCTGGCTTCTTTTAGTCAACATTATGTTTATGAGATTTATCTATGTTGGGTATAATAATTTATTCATTTTCATTGCTTATATAGCATTCTATTGCACAAAGAAATGACAATTCATTTATCCATTCTGTTGATGGGCATTTGGTTTGGGGCTATTATGAAGAATGTTGTTAAGAATATTTTTTGTTTATATCTTTTGATATACATATTTCTAAAAAAGTAAAACTGCTGGTCAGGGTATACAATCATCCCTTAGTATCCGTGGGGGATTGGTTTCAGGACTCTTCCATACCAAACTATGCAGATGCTTAATTTCTTCATAAAATGGCACAGCATTTGCACACAGCCTATGCATATCCTCTTGTATACTGTACTTTAAATCATCTCTAGGTTACCTATAATACCTAATACAATGTAAATACTGTGTAAATAGTTGTTACACTGTATTGCTTTTTTATTTTTTTAGAGACAGAGTCTTATTTTGTTGCCCAGGCTGGAGTACAGTAGTGTGATCATAGCTCACTGCAGCCTCAAACTCCTGGGCTCAAGCAATTCTCCTGCCGCAGCCTCCCCAATAGCTAAGACTGCCAGTCTGTGCCACTACTCCTGGCCATTTTTTTTTTTTTTTTTTTTTGAGACAGAGTCTCACTTTGTTGCCCAGGCTAGAGTGAGTGTCGTGGCATCAGCCTAGCTCACAGCAACCTCAAACTCATGAGCTCAAGCAATCCTCCTGCCTCAGCCTCCTGAGTAGCTGGGACTACAGGCATGCGCCACCATGCCCGGCTAATTTTTTCTATATATGTATTAGTTGGCCAATTAATTTCTTTCTATTTATAGTAGAGATGGGGGGTCTTGCTCTTGCTCAGGCTGGTTTTGAACTCCTGACCTCGAGCAATCCGCCCGCCTCGGCCTCCCAGAGTGCTAGGATTACAGGTGTGAGCCACCGCGCCCTGCCTTCCTGGCCATTTTTTAAATTTTATTTTTGTAAAGACAGGGTCACTTTGAGGGGTCTCACAGAATCTCCATGTTACCTAGGCTGGTTTTGAATTTTTTCCCCCCCAGGTATTTTCTATCTGTGGTTGAGTGAATCCACAGATGTGGAACACACAGACAGAGAGGGCCTACTGATAATGTAAACAGTTTTCCATATAAATTTACACTCCTACCCAAAGTGCATTGCTGGTTTGATATTTAAATCTTACTGTGAGTGCATCTGTCAGTTACATTAAAAACAGTTATTTTTAACTTAAAATGTTTTTTTCCACTCCCAGATAACTTTCAGGTGACCAGCCAGAAATTTGTCATTATTAACTAAAAGAACATGAGACTTTACGATTTTTTTTTTAATTACTGATTCATTTTTTTTAAGAACACAGAAAACAGCTTTTATCAACAGAGAAAAAAATCTGGAAAGACCTTACTACAAAGAGGAGGGACATTCTCTAAGGCCTTGAAAGAGCATTTTATTTGTTCAAACACTTTATAACCTGATACTATGAAAGTTTCTCATCAAAACAAATTCAAACAAGATTCTCCTGATTTAATTACACTGAGATCACAGACTTATGTAGAGTTTAAAGATTTTGCTAAGGTGATAGCTTGGTGTCAGTTTAAAATCATGTAACAGCTAGCACCACTGTGTAACATACACACACATCCACTGTCCCTACCTTTTACAATCACTACCACCTACCTTTATTTGTTTCTGCCCTGACAGCTGCTCGGAAAAGGAAGCTTTCGGGGCACTGGGGCTGATTTCTCTGGACAGCAGCAGGAAAAGAATATGCAGGGGAATGATGAACTAAATCAGCATGGAAAAGCAAAATGAGATTAAAGGAGATAGAAAGAAAATTAAATATATTAGTAGACACCCACATGTCATAAAATTTCAATAAATAGCAAATAAAAAAATCAAACATCAATGATATAAAAATGATAATTCTGCTTATTAATGAAAAGCCTGGTATAGAAAAGTAATTCTGAAAGCAGGGAGGCTGCTTATATGTGTTTTTAATTGCCATGTTATTTTTGGTATATCAATACAGGCAGAATAAACATTAACATATTAAACATAGTCTCTTATAAACATATAGCCCTGCTGTTATTCATTTGTTCATATCAAATGGCTAAGTAGTTGAACAACCAGATGAATTAAAAAATGGAAAAACACACAAAAAATACAGAAAGTATCCAATTTTGTGTCTAATCTCCATCTCAGAAAAAGAAGCCACAGCTCTCTAAGAAGTAACTTATGAAAATCCTGGTAAAGAATTATAATCTTATTGCTAACACTGAAGCTCAAATTTAAATGTTACTGAAATTAGATGTTTAATTTTAAAAAGAATTATAATCTTAATGTAGTTAATTAGCACCTCTATGTCTGTTACCTGTTTGTGTTGTAGGTGAAGATATAGCATTAGCTCTGTCATCATTCTGTAGAGAAACAGAGATATACCAGTAATTATTATTCAAGAAGAGATTCTACATTTACGCTAACTTCGGAATTATAAAAGAAAAAAACTCATAAAACTCTTCTTCAAAATTAAGTCTAGAAATGAGAATCTGGTGAAATGAATTAATTTTGCACTGTTAAAGCCAAACTTTTTATTTAGTTGTATTTATGTAAAGCATTCCATAAAGACAGTCCCATTATCTAACAGACCTGTCCTGAGACTGTGAAAAATGATCACCCTAAAGCAGAAAATTTTATTGGGAAATATATAGGAAAGAGAGAACAAAATTTTATATTTTAATAATAATTCCTCTAGAATAGTTTCTCAAATATTCTTTTCTCTGGAGAATAAAATATTTTAAGTAAGTGATCGAGGTTTCTTCATTTGTTAGAAAAAAAGGTGTTTGGGAAATAATAGACTGATATATCCTCTAGACTAGTATTGCAATCCAAGATATTTTTAATTCATTGACCAAAAGAACTGTAAAAAAGAGGAAGAGCTAGCCAAACTGGTATAAAGTTTACATAAAGAAAGGGAAACGTAGTTAAGCTAACTGAAAAAGAAACAGTTGGGTTGAAGATGATGAATATTTGACAGGGGAGTAGAATCAAGAAAAGCTATAAAAACATCAACAATTTTTTAGTCTTTAACATCTAATTGAATTTAAACAAATTTAAATATTATAATTTCATGATATGATAACTAAGACACATTCCTGAATTAAGAGAAAGACTTTACAACTAACACATACATACACATCTACTCCCATGTTTTTCCTCCCTTTGCTTTCAATATTTTCAGAAATCTTACATCTTTAGAGTTGGGTCAGATGAAATTAATGACAAAATTTTAACTGCTAAAAAAAATAATAAACAGAAGCCACACTGTTGAGAAAATTCTTAAGGCTGATATGCAGACAATTTTCTGGTAACAATTCCTTAGTTTGATACTCATAGACTGAGAATTAGATTTCAAAAGTAAGCTACACTCATAAGTAAAGCAGTGTATTATCTTCAGTGAAAAAGACATGTTCATCAAGTTTTATACATGCAAATAAACTAAGTTTGGGGTATTGAGAAAAAAATGGAAATTTAAGTAAGAAATTTAAAACAAGAGTAACAGGAACTAGTAAAAGGAATGAACAGGCAAATGAGGCAAAACCTTGGTATTTTTATAAGAAAACTAAAGACTATTCTTATTTTTAAGGGATGTGAGAGAGGAATGAGAAAGCTAAACAAAGACATGTTTAAGGAACAATGAATGGTACAAAGAGAAAAATATATTAAAGATAGAGATTATTTTATGTAAAGAGGAAAAATATTTTTTTTAAATTTAAAAGACCTATTAGACTAGAAATTTAAACATATTGAGGAATAAAAGGAGAAAGTTAATAAGCAACTTTATTAGATGAGACGGAAGAGATGAAACAAATGACACTGAAAGGCAGCGAATGTTCTCTATCTCCAGAAACAGCAACAGGTAATACATAATTTGATGTGATGAAAAACAAAGCCAGAATAGACGAGATTTGTAAAATGATGATTTAAACAATTTACTTTTATTGAAACTATAAATCTAAGTAACTTGCACCGTAGAATACTAAAATAATTAGTTTAAATCACTCAAAGCCATTAACTACATTTGGGAACTCTTAAAGAATTGGAGAGCAAAAAAAAAAAAGGTTAAGAAATAATCTTGGAAATTGACATGAACTCACCCTAACCTGACTAAGCAATAATAGAAATAAAATCATGCATAAATATAGTATATAACTGCTGTAAAAGTCATTGGGATACCGGGATACCAGAAAATAAAGAATAATAAATCTTTTAAAATGAATCATTTGACAGTGTAGTGGGTCTGATAGAAAAAAAGTCAGACTTATCTATCTTATCTAGTAAAATTTTAGATTTTATTTCTCATATAGGCACTACAAAACAGAGAAAATATGATCTGGATCACACAACTTCTGGCATATTCAGATTTAGCTTTTTTCAACTATGAATTTGAGAGAAAATAAGCCCCGATGCCCTTATCCATTGAGGGTAATGAATTAAATTCTCTCCCATGTATCTAGAATGGTACTAGTTATATATGCTTTCCTTGAGAGAATTTTGAAAAAAGTTGCTGAAATAATTGTCTGTGTTGTTCTTCAAATAAGGAGCCCAGTTGAGAAAGGCTGGCAAGGAGTTAACATGGAAGAGAATTATTAAGTGTTTTCAGGAGTCATCCAGGTATGTACAGCATCATCAATAATGACCAGAGAGAAGGTTCATCAGGTTTACAGATGTTATGAACTGAGGGTTAGCATTTAAAAGGACATGATGCAAGAATTTGAAAATTCTGGTAAATTAGAGAAATTCAAAGAGCAAAACTAAACATTCAGGGAAAAAATAAAAGATACAAGATATGGAAATTAACTGTCATTTAGGAATATAACTAAAACATTTGAGAATTAAAGTGAATATGAAGACCAAAACTGAAAAGGCCAAACTAAAGTTCAAATTCAGATGTGAAAAATCCTTGTTTCATGCTCTGAGTCAGGCAGGCAGGGATATATTTTTAGTTGTGAATTGTGGAGCTACAATAAAGGGCAGAGAACTTGAGAGAGTTCGTTAAGGATTAACAGGCCGGGAAAGGCATATATAAGGATCTGAGTTTATTTAGGGAGAAGACAAAGATGGCATCGTAATAGTTTTCAAATACAAAGATTCTTAAATAAAAATTGCTAAATAACTAAAAAATCTCCACTCTGGGAAGAAAAGAACAAATTTAAACCACAAGAGGACAGTTGTAAGTTAGACAAAGGTCTTCTTGACAGTGAGAATTATTAATCATTTCTAATGTATGTTAATGTATGGAATTACCATTCCTATAGACCTTTAAAAAATAAAATACTACAAGTTCTTCATTTTAGAGTTTAGATTCAATTATTCTAGAAGGTGAAATTGACCATCTCTTATGATATTGTTGTTGATATAAAGCAGAAGTTGACAATTTTTTTTATAGGGCCAGACAGTAAATATTTTAGACTCACAGGCATATGATCTTTGTTACAACTATTCCAACTCAGTTTTTTACTGTGAAAGCAGCCATAGACAATACACAAACAAAAGGGTTGGCTGTATAACAATAAAGCTTTATTTACAAAAACTGGTAGCCTAGGGGCCATAGTGGGCTGACCCCTACTGTAGAGGGTTTTGGCAGTGATAGATATTTGGACTGGGACTCAAATTATTTTGCACACACATTAGACAACAGTTAATTTGATATTATATACTAACCAAAGTAATAACTCATGACAAAAAAAAACTTTGCTAAGAAATCAGAATGATAAATCAAACAGAATCTGAATATAATAATTGATGTTGGCTCTATGACTATCTCTGGCATAAAACTTTCAAAAAATTTCAAATAAAATCAATGTTAAAATCAAATAGTTTCATAAGCCTAGGTATATTTCATGCAATCCTAGATTTCAGATTGCTGTTGGACCAATCCATTGGAAAATTTAAGACCTCCATTATACACCCCCTCCCCAAATTTCCTGGTGAATTACAGTAACAGGAGATACCTTAAGAGGTGTGAAGGCAGAAGAATGAGGCAGCATAGCAGCACAGCCCACTTGATTCAACCCTGACAGCGACTAAATTTCAAATGAGAAAGAGAGGAAACAGAAGGCAGCATTTATGTTAGCAAAATGTCAGGCAGGCAAATCTGACCAGTGAAATTAGAAAAGGAAAGGTCATTGACAAAGTTTCAACTGGTTTACTAAGATAATGACAAGGCAGAAAGAAAGTATTTTGGGGAAAAAACCCATCATTTTATACATGTTGTTTTTCCAGCAGTATAAATCCAGGATATTCTCAATACCTCATACCGTATGAATCAAGAAATGATAGGCATGATTAATAATGATTTGATGCAGAGATAAGACACCCAGAAAACGTCAACATCGTTAGTATAATAACCTTGAAGCTAAGGAGTCCCATGCTGTTCCTATGACGGATGGAAACAAATCCAAACAGCTCATTTTAACTGAGCAGAATAAGCATAAGTAAGAACAGTATTTTTTCAATATTAATCCAACTAAATTTATCTAACTTAATTTAATGGCTCTGATGTGAAAAGACAGGACATGTGAGGATTCTGTGTCACACCTAAATGATGAACCAGCATTTCATTTTTGCCTCTATGAATTTCCAAATGACCTCTAAAAGAGTAAGGTGGCATTTTTCGTTTCTTTGAGCCTTTTATTTTTCACCAGCCAACATATGACTGGTTAAGCATATTAGAGATATAGTTAGACATACTAAATGTTAGAATCTATTGTGTATATGTATATAAGTATCATCTGTCAATTAAAAATAAAAAAGAATCTATTACATAGAATTTTGATTACAGGTAACATACTCAAAACATGACTATTTTTACATTTGCCACATGGAGAATGAAAGTCAGAGAAGACAACACTTTCATAAAGGGCACTGGATAAGGTTTTACCCTATTAAGACAACAAAATGCCAAAAGCTTAAAAATATTAAAGCCTTTATAAACTAAATACATTTTAAAAATTTAAACTAGAACCACAAATTTCTGAATCATGGAATAAGTGAACAAGAACACATGAGTGTTTAGAAAAAGGTATGTATGTATATGCTCAATAAAATAAATATAACTATATTTTCAATTGAGAGTTAATAGATAGCCATATCTTTTTTCTTTGAGAAAAAAGTATGTAATACACTATGTGTTATAGCATCAAAATTTATCTTAAGGCAGAAAATAATGAAAGAAAAAATATACCACAGGACAAGACTGTGACAATAGTAATACATGGTATATGCTTCACCTGTTTAGATTTCCTGGGCCTCTTTTTTTATCAAATGTAATGGCACTACTGTCAATCTCAAATATAAAAAGGCTACAAGCCATTATATTGGTAAAGAAGGAAAAAAAGTAGTAGAAGCAAAAATGAACCTCTTGCTCTCTTAAAATAAGATGGGATGTATGTGAAAGCAACAGGAGCTTAAGGGGCAGCCCTCAGAGAATGTTAGTGTAATTTATATTAGATGTTACAAATAGTTATTTCAAATCCTACATTTCTAGGTCTTTAAATCAAATTTAATATTTACCTTGCCATATCATCAGAGTTTTTCATCATGATGCAATTTAACGAGCAATCAATAGATGTACAGCATTTATGTGTTCACTGTGGAAATACTTATTAAGCACCTAATATATCCCAAGAACTGTGGTGGTGAATGAGTATATAAAGATATGCACAACAGAGAATATCTTTGTGCCCATGAAACTTACAGTCTAGCAGCTGTATAGAAAGAGAAAGTAATAAATGGCCAAATAAAAGTATTACAAAGAAAATTAACAGTGAAGACAGAAACTTGATTTAAGGGTGGGAGATGCAGAAGAGCCATTTTAAAGATGTGACAGTTAAGCTGATACTCGATAGATGAGTAGCAATTAATCAAGGGGTAAATACAGGGAAGGAAAGGCATTCCATGTAGAAGGAACAGCATGTGCAAAGGTCCAGAGGTGGAAAAGGGCTTACCATATTTGAAAGGCTGAAAAAAATACTGGTATAGCATGAGCCCAGAGATGAGACTGGAGAGGCAGACAGTAGCCAGAGCATACAGGAGCTTCTGGGCATGTTAAGAGGTTTAGATTTTAAGAGCAATACCAAGTCTTTGAAGAGCAGTTTTGAGAAGAGGTATTATTTAAATACGTCTCTTAGGCCAGGCTGGGTGGTTCACGCCTGTAATCCCAGCACTTTGGGAGGCTGAGGCGGGAGAATCGCTTGAGGTTAGGAATTCAAGACCAGCTTGGGCAACATAGCAAGACCCTATTTCTACAGAAAAATAAATTAACTGAATATGGTGGCATGTGCTACTTGGGATGCTGAGGCAGGAAGATCCCCTGTGCCTGGGAGTTTGAAGTTACAGTGACCTATGACTGCACTCCAGCCTGCAGCATAGAGCGAGACCCTGCCTCAAAAAAAAAAATATATAAATATAACAAATATCTTTAAAAAAAACTGTGACTTTTTGCACAGCGTTGGCTGGAGACTATAATATTTGACATACAAATAAATGTGAGGCCATCTAATTTAGAAGAAATTCCTTGCTTTTAAAAGCCATCTAACTTAGTGTTTATGTATTGACAAATGGCTGAAGGCTATTCAAATTTCACACGAAGGAGATCTTGCTGTTGTTTTCTAAATTCCACTTTTTCCTTGATAAGGTCTAGGCACTTAGGCTTATATCCCTTAATATATGTTTTATTAAATCTTCCCTTCAATTTTCTAAACTGTTTTTCAATTACAATATGAGAGACAATACAGCATGGTGTTTAATGCAGGTCTCAAACCAGCCACATATGGATTCTCAGGCTTGTACTATGCAACTTTAGACAAGTCACATTCTGGATATAACATTCTGTCCGTCAGTCATCATTTGTCAAATGATGCTAAGTTTAATGTTTATTCTTACGGTTGTTGTGAGAAGTGAATGAGATAATTTTGGTACAGCGTCTGGATCATCAGAGGCTCTCAATATTTTTCTATGTTCATTTAAATTGTTATTTGCTTCTCATGCCAATTAACTTCCACAAAAACTCCAGAGGCTAGTGGTTGTATTCATCTATAAAACTGGCCAGTTAAAATGTGCTTTATCCATCTCTTAGGAAATAAAGATTGCAGAATACACAGAAATTTTAACAGACAATGGAAGTTTATGTCATAGGAATCTCATGCTGAAGCATGTAGTTCATGCAGTGGTATGCACAATGGCAGCAGTCACTAGCATATAAGACAGGAATTGCTACAGACACTAGAGTTTTGAAATGCTAGTTTTCAACACTACTATGAACAAAATAACATAAAACATGATGGGAAAAGCAATTCTATAAATGGTTAGAATTCTTTTGCAAGGCAGATAAAAGTAAGACTTTAAATAAAGCTCTTATGTTATACTCATTTTCAGTGATGAAACAGGCAATAAAAGTAAATCAGTGGTTTAAAAAAAGATAAGTAGATTGTATTTCAATTAATGTTTTCCTGAGTTGAAAAAATGAGCATGGAGGTTGGGAACTGGCTCACACCTGTAATCCCAGCACTTTGGGAGGCCAAGGTGGGAGAATCAGTTGAGCTCAGGAGTTTGTGACCAGCCTGAGCAACACAGTGAGATTCTGCCTCTATAAAAAATTTTAAAAATTAGCCAGGTGTGGTGGTGCATGCCTATAGTTCTACTCAGGAGGATCGCTTGAGGCTAGGAGTTTGAGGCTGCAGTGAGCTATGACTGTGCCACCGTGCTCTAGTGTGGAGGATAGAGCTAGACCCTCTCTCTTAAAAAAAAAAAAAAAAAAAAAAAAAGAGCATGGAGACAGAATCTTGAGATGTAAGTATTTAAAACCAAAACTTGGGATTTTCAGTAGCTTAAAATACGTAGTAATATAGGATGCCAAATATATAGTTGTGTAATTAGTGTCATGGGGTTAGGAACTCCATTTAATACACAGGTGACTCATGAAACAAAATAATGATTGACAAAGTTAATGTGCTTTCTAATTCGCCTGGAATTAAAAATTGCATTAAAAAAACCCTAATATTTTGTTACGCCTCCTTTCTCTCTCTAGCACATATACAAAGCCAATACAGTTTTCAATGCATATGTTTTATTTTTGGAAGCATTGACAAAGACATGTGAATCATAGCTGCGGAACTCTGGAACACTGGGTAAATCACAAATGGTAGCATAGGGAAACAGTTCTAGTTATTTGTAAAGCATTTAGTAATGATGCTCATCATGTTTTATGATATTTAGATCATTTCTAAGTGAAAAGTACAATACCTATTCTTCAATCTCTAGACACAGAAATGTAAAACTCCATTTTGTGCAAGACTCTTACCACTAACAAGGCACTATCATCAGTGTGCTGAGACCTTCTGGATGGGAAGGGACACTGGAGAGGTGGAGAAAAATGAAGCGTTGTCAAAAACAAACTATGCACATGTGTGACATATTTTACAAATATACACACAAAGAAAGAGACATATTAAGAGACACTTTTGAAGAAGCTGATATATAGGGCCACATTCACAATCATCTGGAATTCATGTTATTATAATAGTCAATAAATTGATTCTGAGTACTGATTTTCTTTCAAAGAATTTAAACAAGTTCAAATCTGATCTTATTGCCTAAAGCCTTCCAAAGCAAGGAGCAAACAGGGATTATTCTCTGTTCACAAAAGGGAAAGCTGACGTACAGATAGAACAATAACATAAAGAATTTGTGGTCATTTAGTAAGCCAGCAACAAACAATAAACCCAAGAATCATGATTTCTAGTCTAGGTATCTCTTCATTACCTTTCTCAGAGAAATAAAAGTACAACTGAAAAATTTAAAACTGTACATGTTATTTTCCTGTGAAGCTTTAGTTTTTAGAGAATGAATTACTTGAGAATGACCATCAAGAAGGAAATATTGGGGTAAAAAAGAAAAAAATATTAAATTTATTAAACTTTGTCAAAAGTTTGTATAAAATTACTACCATGTGAAGAAAAGACAACTAAAAATGCTTGAGTGAATCTTCCAGGTATTATACCAATACATAATGTTCTCACATAAATAAACAAAAATAGTTATTATATGTCCAATAATACTTAAAAAAAACCCTTTTATAATGGACAACTTAAAACATTGCAAGCAATACACTTTCTCATACCAGAAACATTTGTGCTTTAAGAACACTGTGCAAATAATTGATACTGATAAAGTCCCATATGTTAGGTTTTTAAATAACTTATTTAACAAAAAGCAAAGTCAAAATTCATATAAAGCAATGCCTTTATATATTTTTTAAGGAAGTGAGGATCATAAATTGAAATAAGAAGGCAAAGAAAAAAGGAAAATGGTTACTAAGAAAGCCAACTACAATAAAAATAAACATCATTTGAATAGATCAAATAAGTGTGTCAATTTTAAAAAGGTTAAGCAATTAATTTTATGTTAACTTGTAATGAAAATGTATTACTTGATTTTATGAAACAGATGTGTACAAAGTATAATTGATAACACTGAACATGAGATACTACATAGAGTCTTTTTTAATACTGACAGCATTTATCCCTACCAGACATGGATCTCAGGACTGTCTCTCATTACACAGTATCTTTAGAAATGGATGAGAGGGGGATGATGCCTCTGGTGGAGGGGGGAGAGGGAAATGTAATCTTTAGATGATATATGTAGGTGAAAAAAGCCCCAGGTATAGATTCTGGTAGGTTCCTTGACCTGTATCATCTTCTCCCTTATAAGTAGAATTTTGTGAGGGGGAAAAAGAAAAATGGCAATATTCTAATCACTAAAAGCATAACAATCACATGCAAAAGGGGCTGGGGTAGGCAGAAAAAAAATTACACATAAAACATTTCATTACCATTGCAAAAATAATAAATGCCAAAGAAAAGGTGATTATATAGACTTACCTCACCGTCCAGGAGGGGCTGTTGTTTCTGTGGACTTTGTGATGCTTTTTGCTATACATCCCCGACCCCCCCGCAAAAAAGGGAAGTTGGTTAGAATCTGGAACACTGGAAATAATAAATTCTATTTACTAAAATAATCGCTCACATTAATTTCTTTATCTCTTGTAATATAGCACTTTTCTAAATTTACTGGTTAGAAAATGTCTTATAATAAGATAAATGTCTTAAATAGCTTACAATTTAAATGAGGAAAAGCAATAAACTGACAAACAGTCCTTTCATGTATCTATAAGCATTTGTAAATAGAAATTATTAAAAAAAAACTATATATATATATACCTACACAAACACATTCACAGACTACTGATCTCTCACTATTTTCTCTCAATGAACTCATTTCTCCCTCTAAGGGCGAAATATCACACTAATGCTAACAACTTTAGCTATCTGCAAACCTGAAGTTTGTATTTTTAATTGCCTGTGGAAACTCTCTACTTGGAAACCCCACTGTCATCTTATATTCAACATATCCAAGAACAAACTCATAATTTCTCAAATTAACTGGCTATTTTCCCCAATTTGCTCATTTGTTGTTATGTCAAATAATAATATTATAACATCCATAGTAGTGTCTCATGTGTTCTCATACACAGTATCTCAAGTGAGTCTTCTTACTCAGTGAGATAAACAAATAGCATAATCGTATTTATTTAGAGATGAGAAAACTGAGAAGAGAGGTTATGTGACATGTGCAAGGTCACAGAGTTGGTAAGTAGCATAACTAAGATTTGCACCTATGTCTCCTGACTCCATATCCTACATTCTTTCCACAATGGTAGACTCTTTTAGCCTTAAAACCTTGCTTTGGGAACTTTTCTCCCCTACTCATCTTCAATGACTTATTCATCATTCACTACCCATTTATGTGCAAGGTATAATGATGCTTCTTATGAAATCTCTCTTATGGTTAATTTAGAAGATCCTATGTAGTGGTAGGAGGTACATCACCCACCATATTAGCATTAAGTATTAGATGCATCTGTAATAATTTTGAAATAGTTAATATGTAATAGTTAAATACCACACACAGGAGGAAACTGAAAGCATAGAATGGTTCAGTAACTTTCCAAAGTCAAGCACATAGTGAGTGGCAAAGCTGAATTCAAACATTTCTGATTTTAAGCTCTTGCCACTGTGCAACACTACCAACCCTTAGTTAGAAATCATCTGGTTTTATGCCTTCATTTTGCATCCTAGTCTGATTATTGTTATTACTTTCTATTTCGTTTTCCTCTTTTTAGTCTCTTTATTCCTAACCTGAGTAGATTAGTTTCTCAGAAGTATCTCTCATGTTTTTCTCCTGCTTAAGAACTTATAATTGTTCTCTTCTGCTTAATAAATCAAGATCAAACTCTAATTTGATATTTAATCAAGACTATCTACAATGTGATTATCTCTTACTAGCTGTGTGACTTCTATAGAAGGCAAGTTAAATGAGTTAATTTATGCAAAATGCCTAGAACACTGCATAGGACATACTACATGTTAGCCACTATTAATTACTGAAAAGGCAGTATAGCATTGTGGTCACACAGAAGGGTCTGGAGCCAGTCTGCCTTATCAGAATCCTTGCTCTGCCATTTGGTAGCTGAATATCTAACCTTAGGTAAATTGTTATTCTCTCTGAGCAATAGTTTCCTTATCCATAAACAGAGAAAAATAGTACCTATCTTACAGGATTGTTGGGAGAATTAAATGAGTATATATACATGAAGTACTTAAAACAGTGCCTGGTACACAGTAAGCATTCAAAATACATTTTAGGAAGTATTATTATCACCATCTTTATCTTCTCACCAATTCCTTTTTCCTATATTGGTTTTCAACACAAACTCTCTAAGCCAGTTGTTATTTCCCTTAAATGCCAGTATTTTAAATGTATAAATCATATAAGCTCATTCCCAGCTCCCATCCTATTCCCTCAACCTAGAATGAACCCACCTTTACACCATCATCCATTTTTTTCTTCCTGTCTATATCCTACCTTTCTTAAGGGTCCTATATCATTTCCTTAAAGGTCAATTCTGATGATACTTTTTCTCTAATTCTTCCTTTGTCTTAGATATAAAATGAGTACTTTTATTGCAAGCTGTCTTATTTTCTGTTTTGTTTTTTTGTTTTATTTCCCTGACAAGGTATAAGTAATCCTTCATTAATAGAGGTGAGGAGAAAGCAAAAGGAAGAAAGATCTGAGGCTAGATAAATTTGGAGGGAAGGAGGGATTGAGAGGTACCTTTGTAAACTTCTACTTATAGGAACATTAATTTTAGTTTTTTGCTATTGGTAAAAAGATTTGCCTAAATTTTGGTAGAAAATAACAGGCACTGGAACTTGTTAGATGAAGAGGAATCAAGCAAGAGAGCTAAAAATCATCATCATGGGCTTGATACATATGGGAAACAAAGAATATATCTTGTAAAACAGTGAAACAGACATGTGCATGGTACATAGAGAAGATAGTCTTTGGCTAAAGTTATGAAATACAGGAAAGAAAGCCTTTAGAGAACAAGAGTAATGCATTCATTTAATCATTCAACAAATATTTATTGAGCTTTACTACAGGCTAAGACCTGCTAAGATCTAGGGATACAGCAGTGAGTAAAACAAACATGGTTCCTGTCATCATGGAGTTTACAGATAAATGACAGAGACAGATATTAAGCAAACAAAATTACAAATAATTACTTAAGTATGAAAAAAATCCAGGATGATTTCAGATCAAAAGGATAAGTAACATAGGCAAAATAAAATGAACAAGGTTCAGATGCTAATATAGAGGCTGCAAAATGTTAAGAAAAAATATTAACCAAGATTATCCATTGAATGGGTGTGAAGAACAACAGAAAGGAAAGAATCGAAGGTGACTGTAAAGGAATAAGCCTGTGAGCCTAGCAATTTTGAATATTTACTAAAGTGAGGAAGTTGGAGAGAGGTTCAATACAACAGTTTACATTTGCATGAAACTTCTACAGTTTACATAGCATTTTCATTTTCATGATCTTAGTGATCTTTACTATGACACTAGAGATTGAGAAAATAGCAGCTAGATAATGAAGTGGTCTATATCATGACAGATTGCTAATTTAGAAGAGATTACTGTTAAAGAGCAAGATAATCTCTTCTATTGTCCTCATGCAGATAGGCACAAGAAAGACACGCTATTTAGTCAAGATTCCTTATACAAGAGAGATGAAAAAAGTTGATGTTTTAATTAAGACGAGAAAAACTGACAATCTCTGCAAAACAAATAAGCACTTACTTCTAAGTAACTTTAAGGGTATCACTCAGTGAATTCAAATGACTCACTTTGACAAAGTCCAGGACAGCATCTCTCTGAATCTGCTTGGTCCTTATTTTCTCCTCCTCATACTGTAGGGCAGCAAGCTGTGCCTCTCTCCGAGCACGCTCTACTAATTGTTCTCTTCTCTGATGAAGTTCCAAGTCTTTATGTGCTAACTGGAAGAAAAATATCATTTTGCATATACAAGTAGGGCTAAGGATCAATTTATCAATATTCACTATCAATTTAGGGAACTACTGCTGACTCAAGCAACTTATACGTTGCAATTACCTAGCGTTCCTATGTGTACCATAAAGTCAACATGTAGGTAAAGAATTATTTTTTGTCTAGTGTCTAAAAACGCTGTTAGCAAGTATCATGTGCATATGTTATATATTAACTGATTGAGGAAAAAGCTAGAAAAGTGTACAAATATCTGGCAATTAATGGCAATTTAAGTATTATAAAAGAAGAAAACCATATTAGTTTAAAAAGCAAAAATAAATAAATAAACCTACTAAAAATTACCTGATTGTGACTTGGTGATAGTGACAAGAGAGAAGATGGCTCAACTGGAACCCTGATCCAAAAAAGAAAAAAAGAAACAAAAGACTCTTTGATAAAAAGACAGACATATAAAAAAAGTAAAATTTTTATTGTTAATGTAGCTTTCTATTAATCAGTAGGAAATGCCTAGTTAGCACTGAAAGAGTAATTGCATTTTGCAAACTTGAGCCCAAGTCATTGAATTAAACCATAGGAATACCTGATGTCTCCAACTCATGTTTCACATGATGATATCTTGATTAATCTATGGCTAACAACTGTCTATGTCATCCAATACTGACAACACAATTGAGATTATTTTTCAAACAGTATCATTTTATTACACAAATAACTATTATCTTCTTTACTACCATGACTGAAACAAGATACATGTAAATTGAGATACTTTTATATACAAAGCCATTTTATCAACAGAAATCTAGACTACTACAGAACCTGGTAACTCACTCCTACTCTTATTTTCAATAATTAAGATTGATGAAGCAATTTTAACAACAGAAATAAAAAGTCTGAGGATTTTTATTTTTAAGAAAAAGATGAAACCCTATTTGATGCTTACAAAAAACAAAGAAAAATGCTACTTGCATCAGGGCATAGTGGCTCATGCCTGTAATCTCAGCACTCTGGCATAAGCAAGCTACTGTTAAGATGGCTTGAAAACTGTGTTGATAGTTTAGGTGCATACTTTGATTAATTGCACTGCTTCTTTTTTTTTTTTTTTTTTTTTTTTTTGAGACAGAGTCTCGCTTTGTTGTCCAGGCTAGAGTGAGTGCCGTGGCGTCAGCCTAGCTCACAGCAACCTCAAACTCCTGGGCTCGAGTGATCCTTCTGCCTCAGCCTCCCGAGTAGCTGGGACTACAGGCATGTGCCACCATGCCCGGCTAATTTTTTATATATATATATCAGTTGGCCAATTAATTTCTTTCTATTTATAGTAGAGACGGGGTCTCGCTCTTGCTCAGGCTGGTTTTGAACTCCTGACCTTGAGCAATCCGCCCGCCTCGGCCTCCCAAGAGCTAGGATTACAGGCGTGAGCCACAGCGCCCGGCCAATTGCACTGCTTCTTGTTTGAGATATAATCTAAACTTTTGATTTGAAATTGAACATTTCATATTTAATGACCGAATACTGGCAGAACCTGGCTTAGAATTCAAGCTATCTAATTTGTAGTTTAGTGTTCTTTCTACTACATCACATTTCCCCCACTCTATAGAGACAGAAACTAGGAAGCAAAAAGGGAGGAGCACAGATTTCAAAGCATATGGGTATATATATAAAATAAAAATTACCTGAGATGGCAAGAACTAAGCTGTGAAAAAGATGGAGGCAAAGGAGGAAGCATGCCATAAGAGAGAATAGAAGTGGTAGTGAAGAAGACATTTGAGAACCAATGGTTCTCCCCTGCCAATCACTGGTTGGTAATGTTGGGCCATTACAGCTTTGTTACTCATTGGTTTTCACCATGCTACTACTTCATGTTGCATGACTTTTTCATCTATAAAATATATTTCTTAATAACAGGATCACTAACATTTCAAATAATACAATTTTTTTGAGGTGTAAGATTGACCTGCTCATTACAAGTAGTTTAGCCTTGGTGCCTGCCAGTAACACCTGCAGTAATTTTGGCAACCAATTTCTACAATCAATAAACACATTTTCAAATATTCCCTGGGAAATGTTATATACTGTTGGAAAACACTGGTCTACCTTACACTTTTCTGAATTTTAAAAATATAAGACACTCAAAACTTAAGGTATACTATTGTCCTCTTTTATATTGGTTCTACATCTTTGAGGTATTCACAAAACTCTTTTTTTTTGGATGGGGGGGCGGAATGGAGCTTGCCGAGTAGCAGAAGTATTGTACATATTATAGTAGAAGTTGTTTATGAATGCTAACGTAGCTGGTGGTATAGCAGGTAGTAGTAGGTAGCCTGTAATTCCCTAATCTTCAGAGTAGTAGACATCCCAATTTGCCCAGGCTACCTAGACACATCTAGGCTACCTAGATGCTCATCCAAGAGAACATAATATAGGCAATGGGGAGCATCCTTAGCTTACATACATGCTTTACAGTGCCTAATACTTGCTTTGGGCATTATCTGTCATCATTCTTACACATTCCCATAAACCCAGACCAGTCTCCATGGTTTGGCCTAATTCAACAAACTAGGAAAGTTATTTAAAATCCTTAAGCATCGGCTTCCTTCTTTATAAAATGAGGATAATTACACTTATTCCAATGAGATGTTATGAAGATTAAATGAGATATTGCACACATACACAGACCATTAAAAAGCATATTCTAATAATTACATATTTAGAATAATAGAAATTTACTATAACTTTGTCCCTAGATTATTAATTTTACTGTTAAAATTTCCTATAGCTTTTGTCATCTATAAACTGGACCAAAACACAGAAAGGACCAAATAAATCCATCTCAGATGTGTTTATGTGCCTTGACTTAAAGGCTACACTTTAACAATGCTTTTCAACTGCTTAGCACCTATCTTATTTCTACATACATTTCTTTACCCTCTTTATATACAAAAACTTATCATTTCATCAGTTTCTTTTGTACTCATTCCAATGTGGATCCCATCTTTACAACTTCACTGAAACTGCTCTTTCAGATTACAAGTTTGGCAATGATCCTTACATACATCCAAATCCTATAGTTATTTCTTAGTTCTCCCCTTACTGAACCGATCAGCAGTATGTGACATTGTTTATCCCTTTCTACACTTTGTAAAACACTCTCTTCATTTAGCCGCTGGGACACCATCTTCTTTTTCCTATCCCTATGGCCACTCCTGCTCAGTCTCCTTTGCTGGTTATTCAAGTCCTAATTCTCTCCACTTTACTCCAAACTCATATATCTAACTGCTTATTTGATACTTCCACTTGGATGTCTAGTAGGTACCTCAAATAGAACATAACCATAGCTGAACTCTCATCTCATACCTCAAACGCGTCCTGCTTTGTTCAGACTCCTTGGTGTTTTCTTGAATACATCAAGCATGTTCCTACCTCAGAACCTGTCTAGAATGGTATTCCCCTAGATAGCCATAAGGCTTGCTCCCTCAGTTTTTCAAGTTTCTATCAAAATCTTATCACCCCATATAACGTTACTCTCAGTATCCCTTCATCCAGACACTACTATCTCTTTTATCCTGCTTTATTTTTATTCATAGCTCCTAGCAGTACCTGATACATATTTGTTACATATATCTGTCTACATCCACTAAAAGGTAAACTTGTAAGATATAACAAACCTGGACAGAGCCAGAACCATTGCAGTGCTCAAGAAATATTGTTTGAATGAATGGCAGCGAACCCCCTCCCCCACCAAAAGCAGAAAATATTGAGAAATAAGAAACAAGATGCAGGTAATACACATGTAACTTCTTAAATCTTGAACTTAACTTAAGCTGGGTAAACTAGAACTTTAAAAGGCAGGCTTTGAACTGCTTTCGCTGCTTTTCTTAAAACCACATAATTAACGTAAGTAGCTTTTCTAGCTTTGTCTATATAACATCAAACAAAACACTTCCAGGACTTACTCAAATGTTCTTTAATTCTATATTGCTTCTTATAGAATTGAATAAACTTCAGAGGACCTAGTCTGATATTATCATTTCTCTTGAACTAAAATGCTATTCAGATTATAAATAGGCCCCTTTAACAATTTTTTTATAATTAAATATTTTTTGATAGTTTCAATTTCAAATTTATATAACCCATCTTGGCAAATAACTATCAAATAGTCACCAATGTAGCACACTTGTGATTTAATGTATTCCCCCCTACCTTTTATTATTCCCCAGAAGGGTAGAATCTATGGGGAGGAGTGGGGGGTGGTAGATAGGAAAGAATTTGCTCAGTGGGTGAGGGTAGGGGAGGAGAATTGGGAGAAAAAAAGCAGCACTTTTTTTTTAAAACCTTACTAGCAGAGGGCTTAGACTTGTAGGCAAGTAGCAGTTCCTTAACTTCAGTACGGCACTCACCAGCCGTGAAACCTTGCCCACAGCCGACACTCACTGTCCGCAACGATAGTTTATGCTGTGCATTGACAACGAATCCTTTGCTCTCATGTGATGAGGAAAGCTTGAAAGCACTGAAAGGTTGTTTTACTTTACAGGCAGCTTTACTTGTAATGTAAATCAGAATAGGTAACATATATGTTTTCATTATGTTATTTTTAAATGTTCACAATTTTATTTCGATAAATGAAAAATTAGAAAACTCACATCATGGCTGTTGGCTAAAGTTGACGCTTGGCTGCGTGCGTTCATCTGTGGCTGTTGACTATAGTTGACGCTCCTATCGAAGTGGTTAAACTGACTTAATTCCTTGTTACATCAGTTGTAACTGATCCACTGCTGAGATAGACTCTTTTTGTTAACATGTTATTCAGGCTACTGACAAGTCCTGTGACCCTGAGAGTTGCCAGTCATTTTGAAGTGATTTTGTCTTTCTAGGTTCTAATTCATTATTCCATTTGAATATAAGCTCCAGTAGGGCAGGCACTTTGATTAAAGTTCATAGCTATATCCCAACATCTAGAAAAACACTTGGCATGCTAAATATCTAGTTAGTAGATATTTCACAAATATCTGCTAACTAAACACATGAAGTATGTATTGATCTCAGAGCTTAACTGGTCAGTGGGGTAAAGCATGGAGATCTCCATGTTGGTCCTCATGATCTTTATACCCCTTGGTCTTACTCTAGTGAATATGTTGTATTGCATGGAAAAATGGACTTTGCAGATGAAATTAAAGTTACTAATCAGTTGATTAAAACTGGGAGATTATCTAGGTGGGCCTAATGCAATCATGAGCCCATAAAAGCAAAAGAGGAAGGCAAAAGACTTTGTGAGATGTAGCAGAAAGGAAAAGTCAGAAAGATTTAAAATGTAGGGATTTGGCCCACCATTCCTGGCTTGAAGATGGAGGGGGCGATAACAAGGATTGTGGGTGGACTGTAAAAGCTGAGAATGACCACCAGCTGACTGCCAGCAAGATAAGGAGACTTTAGTCTTATAACTACATGAAATGGTATTCTGTCAACAATATGTGGGAGCCTGAAAGCAAATTCTCCTCTAGAGTCTCCAGATAAGAATACAGGCCAGCCAACACACTGACTCTGGCCTCTAAGCAGAGAACTCATGTGAGCCTGTCCAGACTTCTATCCTACAGAAGTGAGATAAATGTGGGGTGTTCTAAGCTGCTAAATTTGTAACACAGCAATAGAAAATTGATATACAAGGTAACTGAGAAAAAAAGCTAGCTTTTACCTTGAGAGTTTCTACTAAATCCTGGAAATCTTGAGCTTTACCTTTGATGGATGCAGGAGGTATCAGGGACAGGAGATAAAACCTAAGTGCACCCAAAGTGGGGAAATGTAATTGGAAACCCCTGCAAAAAACTGAAATCTCAAATGACCATACTGTCAGTGTAAGGACACACAGTAACTAAAAAGACACTCTGAAATAAATTTCAAAGCATAGGCAATTTAACTAAATCCCCATGAACTAAGGGATAAGAAAGGCCAAATTATGAGACTTCTTTCTTTCATTATTCTCCCTATATTTTCTTTATTCCATCTATATCTCAGTCCCCAAGATAATTTTAATACTGTATCAAATAAAAGGAAAGAACTATGTATGACAGCTTCTACATAGTAAATTTACTGCCATTTGAGAATAGGAACATCAAGTTTACTGTTATATGATGTCATAAAAACAGAGAGGAGGCAAAAAATCAAAGGCTGGGAATTTTTCAACTATTGTGATATGGCTTATGGCAAGAAACCTTTTGGAAATCAAGAATGAAAAGCAGTGCTTTAAATAAGTTAACTTTAGAAATATTCTGAGAGGCACTATGTGTAGTAGAAAGATCATATTAATTTAGATATAAATGAGGATACGCACTGTTGTCTCTATCTTCCTATTATCCAGTCTAAAATTTAAGAAAAAAAAAATTAGGACTCTTGAAATACTTTTTTATTTGAGACAGAGTCTTGCTCTGTTGCCCTGGGTAGAGTGCAGTGGTGTCATTGTAGCTCATTGCAACCTCCAATTCCTGGGATCAAGGGACCCTCTTGCTTCAGCCTCCTGAGTAGCTGGGACTACAGGTGCATGCCACAATGCCCAGCTAATTCCTTTCTATTTTTAGTAGAGATGGGGTCTCGCTCTTGGCTCAGGCTGGTCTCAAACTCCTGAGCTCTAGCAATTCTCCTGCCTCGGGCTTCCAGAGTGTTAGGATTATAGGCATGAGCCACTGCACCTGTTCAAAAAAATTTTTTTTTAATAGAAGGGTCTCCTTCTGTTGCCCAGGCTGGAGTGCAGTGAAGCAATCATAGCTCACTGCAACCTTGAACTCCTAGGCTCAAGTGATCTTCTTGCCTCAGCCTCCCAAGTAGCAGTCCTCCTCCTCAGCCTCCTGAGTAGCTAGGACTACAGGCACATACCACCATGCCCAGCTAATTTTTTTTTTTGGTAGAGACAAGGTCTTGCTATGTTGCACAGACTGGTCTCGAACTCCTGGGCTCAAGTGATTTTCCCACCTTGGCCTCCCAAAGTGCCAGGATTACTGGCATGAGCCACTGTGCCTCACCTGACTTTTGAAATTCTTTTAGCTTTCTTTATACATAAATGCACACATTATCACCACAAAATCTCATTGCTATTAAGTATCTTCAACTCAACTGTACAGGAGGTAATGGTTTAAATCAGGGGTCCCCAACCTATGGTGAGTTGTATAATTACTTCATTATATATTGCCATGTAATAGTAATACAAATAAAGTACACAATAAATGTAATATGCTTGAATCATCCTGAAACCATCCCCTCCTCCCTGGTCTGTGGAAAAATTGTCTTCCATGAAAATGGTCCCAGGTTCCAAAAAGGTCAGGGATCGATGATGAATGATCTAAATTTAGACCGAAAAAAATCAATTTTACCTCTTTTTTATAACATGGGCACAAAAGTACATAGTCACTGAGTTCTAAATCCATACTACATAAGTACCTAAACATCTCCATTATGCAAAGATCTGTACAAAACCAAAATTATTTTATGCTCTTATCTTTGAGTTTTAAGACAGAAGCAAATAAGTAGAATTGATTTTTCAAACCTGTTTTGATGTGAGTATCTTCTCATATCTTCTGTTTTTTGAAACTCTCTGATGGCTACAGGCTTTACTGGTGTTCCCTAGGCCAAAAGGGCAGCAATAAATCAATTTAACATATGAATCCAGAATACCATGAAACATAGTTCACATTCAACTTGTCATTTAGGGATTTGGACATTAGACTAATATTTTAATAGAATCTTCAAATCAAACTTCATGTTTAAAAGCATTACAAGCTATATTACTGCTTTGATACACAAAAGTCATAATCTATAAATTTATTTTATTTTTTTAAAAAGTAGACTTTTGTCTCACTGTAGGATATAAATTACAGTGACCAAACAGTAATATTTACTGAATGATAAGATGTTAAAGTTGGAAAGGATCTTAGAGGTCATTTGATACAAACTCCCATCAAGGACAGAAATTCCTACCTACCCTACCCTGACATTAACGTAGTTTCTCTAGTCATAGGGACATGACATTTCTAGCCACGTGACATTTACTAGGCATGTTTACTAGGCATGTGACATTTCTTTACTTCTTCATCAACACAAATTGTCTCTTATCATAGTCATATAAATAGTCCTGGGGATGTTGGTAGGATATCAAGACAAAACAAAAAGTCATTTCTAGGCCAGGCGCAGTGGCTCACGCCTGTAATCCTAGCACTCTGGGAGGCCGAGGCGGGCGGATCGTTCAAGGTCAGGAGTTCGAAACCAGCCTGAGCAAGAGCGAGACCCCGTCTCTACTATAAATAGAAAGAAATTAATTGGCCAACTAATATATATAGAAAAAATTAGCCGGGCATGGTGGCGCATGCCTGTAGTCCCAGCTACTCAGGAGGCTGAGGCAGCAGGATCGCTTGAGCCCACAAGTTTGAGGTTGCTGTGAGCTAGGCTGACGCCACGGCACTCACTCTAGCCTGGGCAACAAAGTGAGACTCTGTCTCAAAAAAAAAAAAAAAAAAAAAAAGTCATTTCTGTTTATGGTAAAATATAGTATTTTAAAGAGAAATACTATTGGCAATTTAACTTATTTATAAACTAAAGAGTAAAAGTCATTTTCAAAAAGTATTACTGAGGAAAATTAAACTGGCTTAAGTGATATAGACCACACACTGAAAAATAAAATTATAAATCAAAGTAGAGGCTTAAAAGGTTATCACAGTATATATTTCGTCAAATGAGAATCTATAGCAGTAGGCTTGGCACACTGGCTCACTCCTGTAACCCTAGCACTTTGGGAGGTGGGAGGATCACTTGAGGCCAGGAGTTTGATACCAGCCTGGGAAAAATAATGAGACCCTTGTCTCCACAGAAAAATAGAAAAATAAATTAGCAGGGCATGGTGGTGCATGCCTATAATCCCAGCTACTCAGAAGGCTAAGGAAGGATTGCTTATGTCCCAGAGTTTGAGGTTGCAGTGAGCTATTATTGGGTCATTGCATGCATTCCAGCCTGGGCAACAAAGCAAGACAGTGTCTCAAAAAAAAAAAAAAAAATAGAGAATTCCCTTAAAGATTATAATATGCCATTGTTAATTTTATTGTAAAAGAGTTGCCCTTTGCCCTAGAAGGAAGGCTCATAGTCTGTACCACAGGTAGTTTGATCAGTCAACCTGGTACATTACTATCTCTGAGCTGCAGGACTTTGATTTATATAACTTTGTCCAACTTTAAATATAAGAGTGTCTTCAGAACACCAACAAAAAACACTGTGTTTAAAAGCCTTCAGACAGGAAAATCAAAGGTTTTTTTTTTTTTTAAAAAAAAGAATGATAATATCACTCTACAATATCCCACAAGTGATTATTCTCTATTTCTAAAAGCTAAATACATCATTCTCCAAAAAGGACCCAAGTGTTTCTCAAATAACCTCTGCTCAGAGCCTGGGACCAACTCCAGACATCAACATCACAAACACTAAAGTGGGGCCAATTTATTATGCTGACTAGATATATTGAAGAATGCTATTCTATTTGAGATCCTTGGGGAATTGGCAGAGATTCTACAGTAGGCTGAATGCTCATTTGTTTTCTAAAGCAATTCAATGCTCTACTATAAGAGACACCCAAGAATTTTAATAGCAAACAATTTATATTGTGTGTGACTTAGCATAAAAGCTCCAACATACTTAAGCTTATTATAAAAATTCTATGATTGTTTGTATGTTGCCCTAAAAGTAAACTTTTTGGTTTAATTCTTAATTACTGATCAAAGTATAATTTATCAGTTAGAAACAATAATATAGCAATAAAAACAATAATGAAAAATATCATATTCCTTTGCTTTCCAAAGCAAAGGATTTAGATTCCAAAGGCTTTAGATTATATATTCCAAAGGCTTTAGATTACTCTTAGGACTTCTTTTATTCCTTCTTTGAAATTTTGAACTTTGCTTTCTCATTTGAAAAATAAACCTAAACCCTACTTGAGAATACTGTCCAATTTTTCTGCATAAATCTGAAAAATTCGGGATTGACATTGGAAGACAACATAAAATAATTAGGCATAAACCAACAAATCACTGATATGACAGAAATTTAGACTATCATGAATTATTTTTACCAGGGGATAGCAACATAGTTAGGCTTAAATGTGTGTACTACCTCATGAGAGATTCGCCGTTGTTCAATATATGCCATAAACTGTGAACTAAGGCTGTCTGAGTCCAGGCCCTTGGGCTGTCTCACCTCCTCCTCTTCTTCTTCTGCAGTACAGCTGTCAATGTAGTCAATCTGCTCCAGATCATGTTCCACTGTACAACACACACACACAGAAATAACACTCAAATTAGACAGCCAGTAAAAGACATTAAGTTATATTCTCTCCTTTTCCCTAATATTTTCTACTCTGAAAGTGAGAGGAATGATAAAAAGTTTAAATTACATAAGCCTTTATTTTTTAGTCCAGAAACCCTTAGTCCTAATTCTCTAAAGAATGCAGTAATTGCTGATAATTATTGAAATATGGACCTCTAACATTTCTTTTTTCTTTGGACAGATCCTTACAGTTTTAAATAAGACAGTTTGAGTTTGTGAGACAAAGAGAGAGGAAGATTCCTTTTTAAAGACTGAAAGGTGCATCTTCCTTTACAACTTCATGTTTTGGGTTTTGAGTTTAATAATATTTCTTTGAAAAGATGGGAGATAGAAACCTAACAGTCAAATGAAAAGAAAGTAAAAGGCAATAAAAAAAAAAGAGAGAAAAGGTAGGAATAAACTGGAGTTGGAAAGAAATAGTTTCTCAACTTCTATATTTCCCTTCATGTAACTGTCATCAATTAAATTTTTTTTGAAAACTGTGATCGAAACAAAGATTTTCCTATTTAGAAAATTATTTACTAGAGGTCAGCATTATAGATATTCTGCAATAGTATGTGTTTGGAAGGGAACCATTAAGGAATTCTTTCTTCTCAAAATGTTTCAGAGTGGGCTGGGCACAGTGACTCACACCTGTAATCCCAGCACTCTGGGAGGCCGAGGCCGGAGGAGACCAGCCCGAGCAAGAGTGAGACCCCGTCTCTACTAAAAATAGAAAAATTAGCTGGGTGTCATGGCATGTGCCTGTAGTCCCAGCTACCTGGTAGGCTGAGGTAAGAGGATCCCTTGAGCCCAGGAGTTTGAGGTTGCAGAGACCTATGATGACGTCATTGCTTTCTAGCTGGAGTGACAGAGTAAGACAAGACTCTGTCTCAAAAAAAAAAGAAGCTTTAGGGCGAGGAAAAGCATATAAATAAGATATAGCACATTGTTTCATATAGTAAGTTTTAGAATGCCCATTTTTAAGTTTTAAAGTAATTATTTTAATAGCTACTTAAAATGACACACTAGAAAAAACAACTTACTACTAAAATGGTTTCTCCAGAGATTCTAGCCCATTATTTTATGATGTTCTACAGACTAAAGTTGCAGTTGCTAGAACAGTGAATTTGGAGGTCTATTTCTCAATTTCACCTTGAGAAAGATGCAGTTGCTGGAACAGTGAATTTGGAGGTCTATTTCTCAATTTCATCTTCTGATTCAATTATTTCTAAATAATTCCATAACTGCAATTAATATAAAAAATGAATTTTTAGTTTATTAGTTTTATTAATAGCTAAACATGAGGAAAGGGTGATAAGTCTACATCCACATTAGAAACCAGGTACACAAATGCATTTTTTCGATGTGCTACAATTTGTCTGACTAAATAAATGGTTTATATTATTACCATTTTCCAAGAAAGCAATATCACTTCTTCATACTATTTAGACCAGTGTGGACCAAGAGAAAAGGAATGTAAACCACGAAAGTGAACCACATATGTAATTTAAAATTTTCTAGTAGCCACTTTGTTTTTTTTCTTTTTTAAAGAGATAGGTATCTCACTATATTGCCCAAACTGGTCTTGAACTCCAGCCTGAAGTAATACTCCTGCCTAAGCCTCCCAAAGTGTTGAGTGATCATGGCTGGCCTAGCAGCCACATTTTTAGAAAAAGTAAAAAAAAAAAATAGTAGTATTAATTTTAATACATTTTATTTTGTCCAATACCTCTAAATATCATTTCAACATATAATCAATACAACATATTGCCACTTTTTTTAATTTTAAGAGACAGGGCCTTGTTTTGTTGATCAGGCTGGAGTGCAGTGGCGCAATCAATCATAGCTCACTGCAGCCTCAAACTCCTGGACTCAAGCGATCCTCCTGTCTCAGCCACTGTGTACCAACATGTCTGGCTAATTTTTTTACTTTTTTAATAGATGGGATCTTGCTATATTATCCAGGCAGGTTTTGAACTCCTAGCCCCAAGCTATTCTCCCACCTTGGCCTCCCAAAGTGCTGGGATTACTGGCATGAGCCATTTCACCTGGCCAGATACTTTATATTCTTTTTTTCACATGAAGTCTTCAAAATCTGATTTGTATTTTATACTTACAGAGTACTTCTCAATTCAGAAAGCCACATTTCAAATGTGCAATATCCACATGTGGCCAGTGGCTACCATACTGAACATCATAGATCTAGACATTATTTAATAAAGTCTTAAAGTGTCCTTATTAAAAGTCTTAAACAAATCATTGGGGAAATATATCTCATATGAGAGGAAAATTTAAAAGAAAACTACTGAAATGTGAATGTTATGTTAAGTGACAGGAGTAAAGAAGAATATGAGATGGTAAGAAAAAGAAAAAATAGCAAAAATACTTAATTGAAATCATCATTTAGAGATGAAAGGTCTTCTCAGAGAAATAATGGATTTCTGAAAATCAATCATTTCTCCCTTCTAACTGGTCCTAAACATTTAAACATTAAAATTTGATAATTCAAACTAAAGCAACATAGAATGGAATGCTAAAATCAAAAGTCTGCTTCAGAAGTACAGGGAAGCAGAAACAGCTCTGCTTGTTAATAAACTATTAAAAAAAAAAATCTTACAAATTTTTAAATGTCAGAATAAGGAATATTGGGATTCAGATGCCCTTAAAAGAGCATAATTCCAGATGAAAGAAAAGGTAAACACTAGGAGGTGCACTGAATTCCTGAAAGAGATCAAACAATGACCAAAACAGGAATCTTAAAAAGGGAAAATGGTACTTCAAAAGAAGATCATGGCTAAATCAAGATTAGTAATGATCTACTCCAGGTGAACTGTCTGTAATAAAGTTTTCTCCCAAAATAAAAATAAGGAAGAAACATTGTATTTTAACTGCAAGCCCGAAAACATAGAGGTTTCCAGTAGAAAATTATTTTTTTCAATAATATATGAAAAGTCTTTAAGAGTGAAGAAGCCATAGATACATAAAAGGAGTGGATGTGAAAAGGATCACTTTAAAAAAGTTAAGTGATTATAAAGACTTTATATGTCATGAGAATCATGTTTACCTCCACCATTTGTTACTACTAAACTGTTGCGATTCTCTTGGTACTGGCTTTCTCTTCGTAGTCTTTGCTCTTTAGTAATCTCTGCTACTCTAAGAGGCAGATCTGAAAATTCATCTGTAGGCTTAAAAAAGTAGAACAAACATTAAAAAAATCATTTCAAATTTTAGACAATGCAAGCATTTAAAATATGGGTACAATATAAAGGCATTGAAATTTATATTTAAGAAGAAACAAAAAAGTTCTGGAGATGGACAGTGGTGATGGATGCACAATGAGAATGTATTTAATGTAACTGAAAATATAAACTTAAAAATGGTTAAAATGGTAAACTTTATGTTATATATATCTTACCACAATTAACAAAAAGAAGAAACAGAAGGGTATTCAAGACTTTATAAAGAGAATATATATATGGACTTAAAGTATCTACATCTACGCCTGTATGGACATAGCCACACTCATGTGCACACCCAACCAGACACTGTACATACAGAAGCAGTTCCAAATTACAAATGAGCTGTGGTCTAAAATTAATTTGCTTTGGACTCCCAATGAAACAATGTTATAAATGGTAGGTTATCAGCCTTGTTAACAGAAGCTTATTTAAAAATTTAACCCAATTTATAGCTAAAATATTATACCAAAGTAATTTTAAAAAGCAGAAAACATAATGCCAATAATTAAATAAAACAGAAAAATGATATAATTAGCTAGGAAATTATTTATCTTCAGCATATGGATATTCTTCACTAAGGTTCTCATCTCCTTTCCCATCAGCCTATAGTCCCGTTTTCTCACATATTAGCTAGCACTCCTTCTACCACCTCCGCTCAAGATTACCCAGCCCCTCAAATTTAGGCTTCAGTTTTATCTGGCTCAGCTCCTGTTTGGCTTTTTAGGATATGAAACAATTTATATGAGACTATGATGTAACAAACATGTAAAAATATACATGATAAAAAGATGGTAAAGAAACAGAATACCAGTTTTGGTGGTAGGGACTACGTGGGATTTTTTCCCCTCCCTTGACTTTTCTATATTTTATGTAATAAGGAATTAAATCCAATTAAGACACTTTCCATTTTCATCATTTTATCTTCTCTTAATCAAGAGTTGTAACTTGTGGAATAGAAGAAACACTTACTTCATTCCCTGACCATCTCTTATCACCACTGTCCACACTATTGAAACCTGAATCAAGGGCTCCATAAGGGCGACTTGAGTATAGTTCTTCATGGCTGCCAAAAAGATACTTTGTTACCACAAAGTTTGATATTTTAAAAATTAATATTTGAAATAAAACATACAATTTTACTAATAAACATTCTCATGGCACTTACTCACTTAACTGTTAGAACTAAGTGGGAATTCTTTTAACTTTTTAATATGAAAAATTTCAAACAGAACAAAGCAAGCAGAATAGGAGCCCCCGTGTACTCACTATCCAACTTCAAAAATATCACAATTCTGCAATTTTTCTTTCATCTATGCCTCCATCCATTCCCCATGCCCCCTCAATTGTTTTTACTTTTAACAGTACTCTTTTTTGAGGTAAAATTTACATACATTGAAATGTATACTTCTTAGCTGTATGATTCTGACAACTCTATCATGATATAGGACATTTCTACTTTGTCAGAAAGTTCTGTGTATCCTTTCTCAGTTAATTCCTCTGATTCTACAACTACGTGCTTCTCAGAGACAAACACTGTCTGATTTTTTTCACTTTAGATTAGCGTGGAAGGCTGAATAATGGTCCCCAAAGATGTCCATGACCTAAGCCCTGAAACCTTTGAGTATGTTACTTTACATTGCAAAGGGGAATTAAGGTTGAAGATAAAAATAAGGTTGCTAATCAGCTGACTTCAAAATAGGGAGAATATCCTGGAATGTTAGAACAGGCTCAATGTAATCACAAGAGTCCTTAAAAGTGGAAGAGGCAGAAGAGGAGGTCAGTGTGATGTGATGTTGGCTTGAAGATGGAGGAAGGGGACCATGGGCCAAGAAATGCAGACAGCCTCTGCAAGTCAGAAAAAGGAAGGAAATGCATCCTACCCAGAGCCTACAGAAAGAAATGCAGCCTTACCAGTATCTCAATTTTAGCCCAATAAGACAATGTCAACTGTAAGATAATAAATTTGTGTTGCTTAAGCCTCTACATTTGTGGTAATTTGTTATGGCAGCATAGAAAACTAATACAATTCACTTTTCTTATTCTAGAACTTACAAAAATGGAATCATATGTACTTTTTAACTGTTTTTGTGTTTTTGTTTTTTGCTCAGCATCACATCAGTGAGATTCACAATGTTTTTACAATTCTTCTTATTGCTGAGTAACATTCTATCGTATGAATGTACGATTTTGAAAATCCATTTTCTGTTGACAGACATCTAGGATGTTTCCAGATTTTGGCTACTGTGAAAAAAGCTGCCATGTACATTAGTGAACAACTCTTTGTATGGATTGGCTTTCATTACTCTGGGTAAATACCTGCAAGTAGAACGAAAGGGTTCAGTGGTTCCCACCCTTTTTGGCACCAAGGACCAGTCATGCAAGACAATTCTCTCATGGATGGGGGTGGGGGGATGGTTTCGGGATGATTCAAACACATTACATTTATTGTGCAAACTTCTCTGCTAATGATAATCTGTATTTGCAGCAGCTGTAATACTAGCAGCACTAGTATTACCGCCTCGGCTCTCAGATCATCAGGTATTAGATTTTCACAAGGTGTGTGCAACCTAGATCCCTCATGTTCGTAGTTTACGGTAGGGTTTGCACTCCTATGAGAATCTAATGCCACCACTGATCTGACAGGAGGCAGTGCTTATGTGGTGGTGGGGAGCAGCTATAAATACAGATGAAGCTTCCCTTGCTCCCTCTCACCTCCTGCTGTGCAGCCCGGTTCCCAACAGACCATAGACTGATAATGTTCTTGGCCCAGGGGTTGGGGACTGCAGTGTTACATGATAAGTGTAGGTTTAACTTTTTATAAAACTGCCAATTTGTTTTCAAAAGTAGCTATGCCCTTTTGCATTCCTACCAGCAATATATATGTGTTCCAGTTGCCAATAATTGTGTTGTCAAGTCTTTAATTTCAGCCATTTTGGTGGGTATAAAGTGTCTCACTGTCTTGCTGTGGTTAAAAAATTTGTATGTCTCTGACGAACGATGATGAGTATCTTTTTGTGGGCTTATTGGCCATTTACATTATCTTCTTCTATTAAATGTCTGTTCAAATCTTTTGTATCAATAAACCTCAAAAATAGTTTGCTAACTAAAAGAAGCCAGACACAAAATGTCACATACTGTTTGATTCCATTTATATGAAATTCTAGAAAAGGCAAAACTGCACTGACAGAAAGCAGATTAGTGACTGTCTAGGGCTGGGGGTAAAGGGAAAGAACTAACAGTAAAGGGGCAAGAGGGTGATGGAAATGTTATATATCTCAATTATGTTGGTGGTTTCATGACTGTATCTGTATACCAAAACTTAATGAAGTCTACACTTAAAATGGGTAGGTTTTATTGTTTGTAAATTATACCTCAATAGAGCTGCTTTAAAAAAAAAAAAGAATGCCAAACCATTCTGCTAAAGTAGATGTACCATTTTTACATTTCTAGAAGCAATTTATGATACTGGTTGTTCCATATCCTCACCAACATTTGGTGTTACCTGCCTTCTTAATTTTAAACATTCTAGTGGGTGTGCAGTGATATCTAATTGTGATTTAATTTGCCTTTCCATGATGACTAATGACGTGAGCATTTTTTGTGTGCTTACTGGCCATTTCTGTAACTGTAAAGTGTCTGTTCAAGTCTTTTGTCCCTTTTTCAATTGGGCTGTCTATCACTAAGTTGCAGGTACTCTTGATATATTCTGGATTCAAGCCCTTTGTCATACATGTTTTGCAAATATTTTATCCCACTTTGTGGTTTGCCTATTCATTTTCTTAACATTTTCTTTTCATGAGTAAATGCTTTTAATTTTGATAAAATCTAATATATCATTTCTTTCTTTTATTGTTATTGCTTTCTATGTCTCAAAAATCCTTCCCAATCCCAGGTCACAATAGACAGATTTGAAGAATATGGATATTCTTCTATATTTCTAAGTTTTATGGCCTTAATTTTTGCTTATTCTTAAATATACTTGTAAAAGTTAGCTTAATTAGACATCTAAAACACGATAAATTCTATTTTTAAAAAATGGTCTATTAACATTTTATCTAATAAGGCTGCCTAAGTTGAAAAGCAACTTTCAATGATACAAATTTAAAATATTGTTCTTCTGGTATTGAATTTTGAATTCCATATATTCTTACATAGTTTGTATATACAATTTTTTCATGAGTTATAATATCATGCTGTTACAATGCACCAGAGTTTAAAGTACAGGTAATCTAAGAAATGTACTTGGATTTTACAGAACAGGAACCAGTTTTACTACTTAACCTTTCTAAAATGAAGATAAATGATTTCTATTCATCTGCCTTTCACAAAGTGAAAGCTTTATATCAACTAAAAACAAACCAAACCTCTATATGAATGTAAGTCAGTTTTTATAATTTGTCATTTATTTACTTATTAATATTTTTTGAGACAGGGTCTCGATCTGTTGCCCAGGCTGGAGTGCCAGTGGCACAATCATAGATCACTGCAGCCTTGAACTCCTGAACTCAGGCAATCCTCCCACCTCAGCCTTCCCAACTGCTGGGACTACAGGGACCTGCCACCACAACTGGCTAATTTTTCCTTCTTTCTTTTTTTTTTTTTGTAGAGACAAGGTCTTGCCATGTTGGCCAGGCTGGTCTTGAACTCTTGGCCTCAAGAGATCCTCCTATCTTGTCCTCTCTAACTGTTTGGATCACAGATGTGAGCCACCTCACCCAGCTTCTTTTTTATTTTTGTCTTTAATTTTTAAATTATTTTATTTTCTTCTTCTTCCCACCCAGGGAGTGGGGGAGGTCTGCATGTACTGCCCAGCCCTGCCCAGGCACATGTGGGGCAGCTGAAATTGATTTTTATACAGATAGGCCCTGACTTACGATGGTTCAACTTACTATTTTTCAACTTTAGGATAGTGTGAAAACAATACACATTTATTAGAAATGAATGGGTACTTCAAGTACCCATATAACAATTCTGTCTTTCATTTTCAGTATGGTATTCAATAACACTTTATTATATTAATAAAATAAGCTTTGTGTTAGATGATTTTGTCCAGCTGTAGGCTAATGTAAGTGTTTAGAGCACATTTAAGGTATGCTAGGGTAAGCTGTGATGTTTGGTAGTTAGGTGTATTAAATGCATTTTTGACTTAGGATATTTTCAACAGGTTTATAGGCCAAAACCCGATTATAAATTGAGAAGCATCAGTACTTGTTAATATGTCTGCTTTTAGAAACTACCACATGAAAATTTTAAAATCTGTTTTAGACTAGGAAACTGAGAAGCAAGCTTATTAGGACTATGCTTTTAAGCAAAATTTAACAGATTCTAAGAGAAGGCCTAAGGGGTTCTCTTTTGAGTAAAGTACATGAACACTACTGTACTTGCAATGGGACATCTATCTTGCCGAATTAATTCTTGTTACTTAAGATTGTTCCAGACGGGTGGGACTGCCAGGTAGATGATCTTATATGTCACATGTTATGCAGCTGAGGGATTCACAGACTAAAAAGTCCTGAAGTGACATTAATAGCCAACAAATCCAACCTCTTCACTCTCTGTGGTAAAAATGAAGCCCCCCAAATTTGAATGACTTGCCATAGCTAGTTAGTAGTAGCAGAGCTAAGGTTAGTATTTGAGTCACTCAGACCAGTGGTTTTCAGCCGGGGCACCCCCAAGGGGACATTGGCAATGTCTGGATACATCTCTGTCACATTAGAAGGTGCTACTGGCATCTGATACCCGGGTAGAGGCCAGGTATGTTGCTAAATGTATTAAAATGTATAAGATAGTCCTTCACAAGAAAGAATTATCAGGTCTGAAATGTCAACAGAGCCAAGGTTTAGAAACCCTGACTTAGAACTACTCTTTGTCAGATCTAGGTAATCAATTTTACACTTAATTTGAGCCTTCCAAGATTAAGAATGTTAAAACAGGTTACTTTCTTTTAATCAAATATTCAGGTACATTTAAGGATCCAGTTTATTTGATTTCCTATGTGATAAAATATGTTATAGAAAAGAATAGAACATACTTACCAGGAGCCAAAACCCAAGGGTCTCCTATCATAATCTGGCAGATCTGGAGCAATCTTACAAGCTTGTATGTTCAGGTATTTAAATATGTGGATTTTGCCTTTTATACATATCTAAATGAAGTAACATATAAATATAACCAAATTATTACTCAACTGAAATATGTATGTTCCTTTTTATAATTAGCTTTTTACTAAATGTACATTGGGATAGAAGGCATGTCTATCAAGTATATACAGTAATATTAAAAAACTAATATCCTTATAACAACAAATTATGTTATTTAGTTCAATGTTATTTTAGGTATTTAAATGACACATACAAGTTTTTATTTTATAGTCACTAATAAGTCACTATAATATTTTATAGTCACTAACAAAATAATTTATGATTACAAACACTGTTCAAATACCAAACAAACTTATCACACTAATTAATTATGCATAGTCAGAGATTTAAAGCATTTTTCCCAAATAGATTATTTTGGCAACTTTTGTTTATAGGAATCCAATAATCATAGACAATTATGTTTTCTGTACTGCTTTCTGTAAGAGAGAACAGGAAATGATGAAATATTAGTTATATCTATTTCTGCTGCTACCTGTCCCAGAAGTCAAAACATAAATTTTTCAGGCTTATCATATGTTTCTATTGTTAAAGTTCACTCATAAAGTTTTATAGTTGCCATAAAGATAATGACATGCTTGTATAAAATCATCAATAAACTGCAGAATTAAAAAAGAGCTACAGCGGTGGCTCACGCCTGTAATCCTAGCACTCTGGGAGGCCGAGGAGGGCGGATTGCTTGAGGTCAGGAATTCGAAACCAGCCTGAGCAAGAGTGAGACCCCATCTCTACTATAAATAGAAAGAAATTAATTGGCCAACTAATATATATAGAAAAAAAAATTAGCTGGGCATGGCAGTGCATGCCTGTAGTCCCAGCTACTCGGGAGGCTAAGGCAGGAGGATTGCTTGAGCCTAGGAGTTTGAGGTTGCTGTGAGCTAGGCTGATGCTACAGCACTCACTCTAGCCTGTGCAACAAAGTGAGACTCTGTCTCAAAAAATAAATAAATAAAAAAAAATAAAAAAGAGCTACAGGGAAAAGTATGGGTTAGAGAAAATTTACAGACTGTAGGGTATCTAGAATGTATATGTAAACCTACCTTATAAATTACTTTATTACTAAATAGCTTCATTGATAAACAAATGACCACACTGGCTAAATGAGAAACTTATGATTTTATTTATTTATTAATTTTTTTGAGACAGAGTCTTGCTTTGTTGCCCAGGCTAGAGTGAGTGCCGTGGCGTCAGCCTAGCTCACAGCAACCTCAATCTCCTGGGCTCAAGCAATCCTACTGCCTCAGCCTCCCGAGTAGCCATGCCTGGCTAATTTTTTCTATATATATTAGTTGGCCAATTAATTTCTTTCTATTTTTAGTAGAGATGGGGTCTTGCTCTTGCTCAGGCTGGTTTCAAACTCCTGACCTGGAGCAATCTGCCCGCCCCGGCCTCCCAGAGTGCTAGGATTACAGGCGTGAGCCACCATGCCCAGCCTGAAACTTATGATTTTAGAAACTAAGAAAGTATAACAATGGTCAGAAGAAGAAATGCACTGATAATCTTTAGCTCTGAAAGCTGAGTATTTTCATTTGTCTCTAGCATTTATGTTATATATAATCAAATTTTACTAGAGAAAATTTAAGAAAGAAATTAACTGAAATTTTATTAGATAAAAATTTAGGAAGAATTCCTCAATTTAAAAAAAATATCAATTCAGTGAAAGTAAAAACACTTCTGGAAAGATCACCCATCTTTTTTGTTTTGTTTTATGGGTAGCACTCAGAACCAGGAGGTTTAGAGAGCTCCCTGCATCACCTATCTTTCATCCTATCTTTTATTCCATTCTAAAGAATACGTACGTGTGTGATTTTATTTTAAAAGAACTCATTTTCTAACAGAAAGATAAATGCACATAATCAAATTTTAAATTTCATCCTTTGTCCAAAAACTGTCCATAGAATACTTCAATTATGGTTTACCTGTGCAGGAGGTGACTGTAGTGGATTGTTATCTAGGGTGATCATCTGTAGGTGCCTGAGGTTCCGATAACAAACAGGGATTGTTGTAATTTTATTGCAGGAGAAGTCTAACCGTATCAAAGGCAACTCTGCCAGCTCTGCATGTGGAAATTAACAATTAATAATATTTTAAAGCTAGACAATTTTACAAAAGCTTCTAGTTAAATATGGTGGATTTAACATAGGTATTTACCTTCATTCTCTCTTAGTGATTAACTGGCAGCAAAGAGGTATAAAATAAACTCTAGTTGCCTATAGATAGGAACACTCATAAAATGCAAGTAGTTTGATCCCTCATAGAACTATAGAAAAGTCTCAGAAGCTGGAGGCTCTGATGCCACAAAAAGGTACGGGTAACAAAAGGATTAGTGTCGACGGTTACATAAAGAACAGATGTCTAGGTCTCCAACCCCAACTCACACAGCTGGGGAAATACCCTTCTACAATCTCTCCAGGAGTCAGCAAGTTATTCTCTAGTGAAATTGAATTGAAAACACTCTGAACTCAGGAACCCCAGGCACAATGGAAAGTCAGGATGAGTTGCAAATTAAAAATGGAGGAGAAAAGTGGAAATCTATACACTTAATGTCAAGACTTCAGCACCTTCCCATTCCATCCTACCACATCCTTAGTTCTTGAATGCCAGTAGTTAGGAATGCACACAATAATGTAGAAGAAATGGAGCATCTGTCTCTGGAGAAACTATACAGATCCCTATAAAAGGACTTTCGATGTTGATACAGAGTTTCCTCTAATAAAATACCCAGCTTGCTGCTTAATTACCATTATACAATTTTTGCCAGTATATTCAGAACTTCTAGTCGGCTATATACAGGAAGTATATGATCCACAGACATTTAGAGAAGTCTCTAACATGGAAGACAGAAATCAAAACCAACTAACCAACCAAAAAATGGAACTCAGAAGAAACAGGTAATATAAAGGAAGTAGAAGAAAAATTTGAAAAGCTTTAGAATTAATATCTTTAGTTTCAGAGAGATCTTTAGCTTTAGTTATGAATCACTAAAACATAAAAGGGATTTTTTTTAAAAAATCACAGAATAACAAGAATTCTTAGAATGAAAAATATGACAGCAGAAATTAAAAATTCAGAATGGTTGGAATGTAAATGGTTGGAACTATTTTACCATAGGGTAAAAATAACAAAAGAAGTGAACAATAAAAAAGATAAGAAAAAGCACAAGATCAAAGAGGTCTAACATCCAAATAAAAAAAAATCCAGAAGGAGCACAGAGAAAACAGAAAAGAGGAAATTATTAATATCAAAAAGAGATATAATTTACCAAAATGAAGGATATGAATCTCTGGTTTGGAAAGATGCCCAGCAAGTATCCAATACATTAAATTAAGACAACTCATACTATGCCACAGTATCATAAAATTTCAGAGCAGCAGAAAAACAGGAAAGACCTTAAAATCTTCCAGAGACAAAAAATTGCTCATGAAGGACTGGGATTAGGAATGAATGGCATATTTTCAACTATCAATTTTTAGCACTGACAGTTAAAAGTGAAAAAAGACCTAAAAATCCTGAGAAAACAGTTTTCAATCTAGAATTTATAATCAAATTATTAATAAGGTTGAACACAGAACAAAAGATATTTCTTTTCAAGTGAGGTTTCAAAAAAATGTTCTCCCATTAGATGTTCTCAGGAAACTACTAGAAGATGTGCTCTGCCAAAACAGGGAGTAAATTAAGAAAGGAAAATCCAGAGTCCAGGAATCAGAGTATTCAACACAGAAGAAAGCAAGCTGAGCAGCAACACTAGAGAACCACCACCCATGATCACAAGAGAAAGAAAAAGGCTCAGCAAGGGAGATACACAGGGAAAAAAAACTTGATAGGTAACCTGATTGGTTTGACTAAGAAGAGTGCTGGAAAAGCTGGTTAACTATAGATACATTTATTTTAAAAAAAGTAAATTAAAAGAATGAGAAATTATTAACTCTAGAAGACAACAACAAGAAAGGAAATAAAATCACAGTGTATCACTTGAATTGGCATGGAACAATACATATATAATTACAGTAAACACTGAATAATTATGTAATAAAAGTTGTGATAAAACTACACTAAGAAAATGGAAGGAGAGAAGTGACAGTATAGGTGATAGTGTAAGGAAATCAAATCCTCATCTATCATAATAGAAAGTTGATATAAGTGTCAAAGTTGCCAAATCCAGCAATAGCTTTAAAAGCAATTAGAAATAAGTCAGCAAACACCAGTGGAAAGAGGCAAAGGAGTTTAATAAAGGTAGATATGAATACTTCTGGCCACTGAAACTGGGGTGGAGGAGGTTTGGAGCAGGGGAATATTATTTAAGCTTTGTAATAATTTCTGAATGATGTAATTTATTATTTAGTAAAAATTAAGATTAATTTAAAATCGGGGGGAAGAGAGCAAGGACAATATATGTAACCTTAACATTTGTACCCCTATAATATGCTCAAAAAATAAATAAATAATTTAAAATCAAAATGGTGATATAACAAAAGATGTAATAAGTTATCTACCAAATTGTAACATGTTAGAAACTAATAATTAACACAAACTTCCACACTAACTTGTGTAGCTGTTAGAATAAAGCTTCTCCTGCCATCTCAGTTCAACTGTATATACTGAGATGACAAAATAAGCTATTAAAAAACCATTTGAAACTATCTGTGTGATTTGCAATTTTCTTGATAATCTACAATCAAAATGAGATACAGAAATAAATTAGAGGATAGGACTATTAAACTGCAATTATCATCTGAAATCTCTAATTTCATTTTCATCAAAACCCTAATGCTTTCACTAATTGATTTCACATTAAATAAATATTCATGAGTAAGTCTTTAAAGATCAACCACAGTAGGTAGGTCCTGAGTAAAGGTATAATCCTAGAAAGAAATCTGAGGTTACAAGGTCATGATTTTGGTTCTGTTGAGGGCCTCTATTCACATTCCTGAATTAGCAGCAACTAGAACCAGGAGGAAACGAAGAAGGCCAAATAAAAGGTGTGCAGGTTACTACACAAGTCTAGTGAGAGGCAAAATATGCAAGATTTTGTATAGTATGGTTGCGTTAAGTGTATAAGGGTGGGCTGGAATGGTCACTTTCTTATAAGTTTACTTGGGATCTAAAATGTCAAAGCTATCCTACTATGTTACAAATGAATATTTTCCTGGATCAAATTGGTGTAAATGTATGGATTCTACACTGAAAGCAAAAACATCATTAGTTAATTCAACATTTCTTATATAAGTCATGTTTTGTACAAGAACATGGAAAAGCACTGTCACGAAAACACTTTCAGAAGATTCTTTATCTCTCTTAAATTTTTACAAATAAATTTCTAGAATCTGATTCACATTAATCTAGAGGACAGTATTAGGGAAAGAAGATGAGTGTATAGATGAAACAAGAGCTGCCATGAGCTAATGACTGCTGTTGTTGGGTGATGGGCACATGGAGGCTCACTACTCTCATTTATATATGAAAGCATCCATAATAAAATTAAAGAAATATATACTCTGAATCTAATAAAATAACGGTTCTTCTCATTTTTACTTTCTTTTATAGCATTTTCTTTCATGAATTTGTATTTGTGAAAGATTGATAAATTCTTAATTTGTTTAATCATTTTTATCATTCAAATACATGTACCAGATGTTTATGATCAGCATAAGATAACCAGTGTCCTAGTGTAATCTCTCACCTCATTCATTATTCACTTTACACATTACCTCCACACAGTTAATTAGCCTCTGTTTGAACCTTTTCAGTGAAGAATAAAGTTCACACCAAAGTCCATTTTCAAATCAGGGCTAATTGTGGTAATGTTTTTCATTACACTAAACTATCCTCTTATCAAAACATCTTACATTTCTCCCCCAAATAATCATGCTTACTGAAGTTTCCAGTGACTCTACCCTGAGTTATCAATTATATTAGTTAACAACATCTAAAACTAAAATCAAAGACCAATAGTTATCAAAACTTTTCACTGAAGAGTCTTTTAAAATTCACAATGGAACAGATAACAGTATTAAATAAACCATTAGATTTCAAACACTGGATGTAACCCTGATACATTTTTGTCTTGTGTCCAACAATCTGGGAGAGCTTTAAAATAAAAAGAAAAATATTAATAAAACAATTTCTTACCTTCAGGCAAATGTAGTAAGTGATTTCTTCTTACATTAAGGTCTCTCAAGGCCTCCAGATTACCAATTTGGCAAGGTATAGTTTGAATTTCATTGCAGCTCACATCCTATTTTGAAAGGATACAAAGTAAAGATTGTTTTAATATTACAAATTTGTCTGCTTTAAACTATCTATAAAATGGTCCTTCTCAGCTGTAAAAATAAATTATGATTCTGTGCCCAAGAATAATTCCATAATTTATACTTGCATTTAATTTTAAAAACTGATTGGCTTTGCCTGATTCTGTACATTTTATATAGAGCTACATGAATTGTGTGAGAACTAAAATTAAGTAACTTAAGATGTGAATAGGAGGCCTAGAATATCAAATCAAATGAAAATTTGGTGAAAAGGTAGAGTACACAAAAGTATAAAAACAAATCTATTAGGACAATAATTTCATTTTATGCTATTCTAATGAAACTAGAAAAAACAATAGAAAGATAAAAATTATAATAATAAAATTATTTGAAAGGAAATTCTAGTTTCAAAATACCAGTTCAACTGTTCATGAATATAACATAAAAATGCATAGAAGATGACTAAAATCATTATCAAACTGAATGTGAAGGAAAAATAATAAAGTACACATAACTCAAAGGCTATGGAAAAACGAAGTCTGCTCTACTAGCATTTGATCAACCTCATTCCAATATATACACTGGATAAGATTTCTGGTATCTTGGTTACTACCTTGAATCATGCTCTGAAAAGAGACTATCTATAGGTTCCAAGATTAATAAATTCAGAATCCTCTAACTCTGAGATCAGCCAAAATAATTGTAAACTCATAATCATGTATAGCAGAGAGAAGCTCCCTAGGTTAATAGAAGCTCGAAGCTGCCACATTAACAATTAAAATCCCTCCAATATGAGTAAAAGAAAATAATACATTTATTATTTAAGAGAAGACTGCTTACCAAAAACTTCAATAAACTTCAGACATTATTTTTTAATTTTCCCAAAATATTCTTAGAGAAAGCAATACTATTTTTTACTTTTCCTACCAACTAGTGATTGATGTAGAATCAGAAGCTAGATGACTTAGTCCAGTGCTTTAGGCATTAAAGTTTAAAAGAGTTCTAAAAGAAGTTGAAAGGATATAGGTTCAAATCCTAGCTACGAAAAAAAAAAAAAAAGTTGAAAGGACAGGAAAATTGAGTCTGAGCCAAAAGGTAATAGCAGTTTATAACAGATCTCTCAGAAAATATGTATATGTTGAAAGACAGCAATTTACTTTCACTTAAAAATGAAGGGGTAGAAAGGAACGAGGACGTTCCAGAAAGACCATCAGATAGGAATTATAAGCTTTAGGGCTACTAATTCTTTTTTTTTTTTTTTGAGACAGAGTCTTACACTCTGTTGCCCAGGTTAGAGTGCTGTGGCATCAGCCTAGCTCACAGCAACCTCAAAGTCCTGAGCTCAAGTAATCCTACTGCCTCAGCCTCCCGAGTGGCTGGGACTACAGGCACATGCCACCATGCCCAGCTAACTTTTTCTATATATTTCTAGTTGGCCAATTAATTTATTTCTATTTTTAGTCTCGCTCTTGCTCAAGCTGGTTTCGAACTTCTGACCTCGAGCGATCCTCCTGCCTCGGCCTCCCATGGTGCTAGGATTATAGGCGTGAGCCATCACACCCAGCCAGGGTTACTATTTCTTACTCTGCCACAAGTTCCTCATATGATTGGGAGTATCAATTAACCTCTTTTATAGGAAACTAAAAGCAATTTCTGTGAGACATCGCTATCTTTTAAGTATTTAGGATTGAGTAAGTAGAAAGAGAAAGTTTAAATGATTTGAAAATAAGAATTTGTATCAGAGTATAATTTACTACTAGTTCATGTTCTTAACTCAAGTTCTGAAGAAATGGCAATAAATGTACATTTTGGACTTTACTGCCTGGGTCTAATAGACTCTAAAAATAGTGGTCTAGAATCTAGATTTAATATATTTCTGAATTTTTTTTTTAGAGACAGAGTCTTGCTCTGCTACCCAGGCTGGAGTGTAGTGGCATGATCACAGCTCATTACAGCCTCCAACTCCCATACTGTGAAGGCCTATTAGACTTGTTCTTTCAGTTTTTCTTAATTCCTTGTCAAAGCACTTGAGTACTGGTCATTCAGTAAATGATTCATTACCATTACTGAAAAATAGCTCAAAAACCTATTTTAGTAATAGATCTTTACTATATAAAAGAGTATAATATGACTGTGAATATATATGAGATAATAAAAAATAAAATATTCACTTACAAGTTCTGTCAAATGTCTGAGGTGTCCAATTTCTTCCGGAAGAGAGACCAGTTTGTTATTACTTGCAATTAAGACTTTCAATGGCAAATTACACAAGTGTACTGGCAATGTTGACAGTTGGTTCCGACTAAATAAGTGCACAGAAAAAGAGAAGAGTCAGGTCTCACCACTAAAAAAAGACTTTTCATCTTTCTCATTCTACACTCAGTAAAATAACAAATATGAATCTTGCAATGAAAAAACAGGATATTAGATTTGAGTTCTAGACTTCATTTCATCGGTTGTCAGTTTTGTGGTTATAGGCACAGCTTTGAACTTAACTGTACTATAGAGATTCCTCATTTGTAAATTGAGGATCTTAATATCTCCCCTACTTATACTGCAAGGTTCTTGTACAACAGAACTCCTTTGTAAGTAATGAAGTACTATATAATCATAATATTATGTTACTAAAGTAAAATGTATATAAGAAAAGATGATAAAAAGGGTAGATAACCGTTATCCCTTTTTCCTTCTGAAGTGGAGTTATAAACAAAATTTGAAATCTATTTTCCTCATCATTACAATATTATAACCAAATATACATAAATGATTTAAATATAGCTCTATGATAAAACAAGTGATTTCATATATCATACCAACTAAGTTATAGGTAAAGAATTTTTATTTATACAAAAACATACAAATCAGAACTAAAATAATAAAACATCTCTCATTAGAGTAAATATAAATTAAATTTTATGTATATAGATTTAACCTTTTAATCTTTTAGCATCAATTCCCTCCCAATTTTCAAGATATTTTGCTGATATAACTAATATAGATCATGAGTCCTTAAAACTGTTTAATCTAAAGCCGGGCGCAGTGGCTCATGCCTGTAATCCTAGCACTCTGGGAGGCCAAGGCGGGAGGATTGCTCAAGGACAGGAGTTCGAAACCAGCCTGAGCAAGAGCGAAACCCGTCTCTACTATAAATAGAAAGAAATTAATTGGCCAACTAATATATATAGGAAAAAAAATTAGCCGGGCATGGTGGCGCATGCCTGTAGTTCCAGCTACTCGGGAGGCTGAGGCAGTAGGATTGCTTAAGCCCAGGAGACTGAGGTTGCTGTGAGCGAGGCTGAGGCCACGGCACTCACTCTAGCCTGGGCAACAAAGCGAGACTGTGTCTCAAAAAAAAAACACAAAAAAACCCTGTTTAATAATAATTCCATTCCTAGACACTTATCTTAAGAAAAAAGTAAACATTCATATATAAAGTTCTCTATTAGTATTATTTTTATCATGGTGAAAAACTAGAAGAAATTTAGTACCCAAAGGAAAACAGATATTTAAAAGTATTTAACTGTATAACAAAATAACATTATTTGTACAACAAAATACAAACATTATGTTAATAAAAGGAAAAGATAAAAATAAACAAAAATAAAATAAAAATTAAAAAATAAGACATTTTTATTTTGTTGTACAGTTAAATACTTTTGAATATCCATTTTGAATATGCCTACAAAGGACATTTCATGACAAGGGGAAAAATTATTTTAAAAACCTGACTGAGGCCGGGCGCTGTGGCTCACGCCTGTAATCCTAGCTCTTGGGAGGCCGAGGCGGGCGGATTGCTCAAGGTCAGGAGTTCAAAACCAGCCTGAGCGAGACCCCGTCTCTACCATAAAAATAGAAAGAAATTAATTGGCCAACTAATATATATAATATAAAAAATCAGCCGGGCATGGTGGCTCGTGCCTGTAGTCCCAGCTACTCGGGAGGCTGAGGCAGGAGGATTGCTTGAGCCCAGGAGTCTGAGGTTGCTGTGAGCGAGGCTGACGCCACGGCACTCACTCTAGCCTGGGCAAGAAAGCGAGACTCTGTCTCAAAAAAAAGAAAAAAAAAATACTGGTTTATAAAAGATATTTGTTATCATATTCCCCTCAAGGAGAAAATAATTTTACAGCCACAGAAATGTAATAAAAGAAGGCCAGGTGTGGTGGCTCATACCTATAATCCTAGCACTTTGGGAGGCTAAGGTAGGAGAATCAATGGAGGCCAGGAGTTGTAGACCAGCCTGGAGAACGTAGCAAGACCTCAGTGAGCTATGATGACACCACTGCACTAGCCTGGGCAATAAAGCAAGACTCCATCTCAAAAAAGGAAAAAAAGAAAAAAGAAATGTGATAAAAGAAGAGAAGAAAACAAATACATCCTTTCCTGCTCAAAAACAAGTTTGGATATGTTTTATTCTTAAAACTCTTTTTCCAGCTATAAAAGCAAACACAAGTTAACTTCATAATTCAGAAGACTGCATTAAAACATACATGTGTTCAAAGAAATAGAAGACTGCTAGTACTTCAGAAGCCCCAATGTAGCTCTTCTTGATCATAACCCCTTTCCTTCCCCAGAAGATGTAATCAATACACTAATTCTTATAATAATGATTTCCTTACTAGTTTTATAATTGTAATACTTTATAGTCTATAGTTTTACCTCCTGTATTAGTTTCCAATTGCTGCTGTAATAAATTACTATACCATAAACTGTGGCTTAAAACAACACAAACTTATTATCTCACAGTTTTAGTGGTCAGAAGTTGAAAATGGGTCTCACTGGACTAAAATCAAGGTGTCCGCAGGGCTGCATTCTTTTTAAAGCCTCTAGGGAAAATCCCCTTCCAGCTTCTAGAGACTGTCCATATTCCTTGGTTCATTGCCCCAGTACTCCACCTTAAAGGCAGCAAAGTCAGGACAAATCCTTGTCCTTCTCATGCTGCCTGCTATTTGGTTCTTCCTCCTCTGCCTGCTTTTTCCATTTTTTTTTTAAGATACCAGGTCTTACTATAATGTGCAGGCTGGTCTCGAACTTCTGGACTCAAGTGCTCCTCCTGCCTCAACATCCCTTATAGCTGGGACTACAGGCACAAACCACAGCTCCCAGTTTCCTTCTTCTACTTTTAAAAATCATTGTGACATTGCCTTCTCCTTCCACTTTTAAGGATCCCTGTGACACTGTCTGCCTCCTGCATGTACCGCCAACCACCTCCAGCCCTGCCCCAATAATCCAGGATAATCTTCCTATTTTAAAGTCTACTGATTAGCAACCTTAATTCACCTTGCCAGGTATCCTAACAAATCCACAGATCACAGGGATTAGGATGCAGACATGTTTGGGGTTGGGAATAATTGTACCTAACTACTATATACCTCCTCCAAACTTTCTAAAAGTGAAAGCATACTGTTTGCTTATTCATTTGTGAGCTTCATTCAACATTTCAGATTCATTCATGTAGTTGTATTTTTTCATGTATTTGCATATTACAGAGTTCATTTTCACTGTGCTCATACTATTTTACTATATGAATCTGTCACAACTCATTTATCCATTCTACTAAAGAGCATTTCAGTTACATACTGATGTAGATAATATATCTAGAAGTGAAATGCTGTATAAGGTATATGTATCTTAAACATCACAAGAGAACGCCAAACTGTTTTCCAAAGTGGTTCTTACCAATTTACAAACTTACCATTAGTGTACATAGTATTGTGGCTTCATATCTTTGCCAACACTGATTGTTATGTGATGTTTTAATATTTATTCAGTGGCAACTGATTGTGATTTTAAAGTGTATTGACCTTCTAGATTTCCTTTTATTGTGATGTGCATGCTCAAGTCTTTTGGTTGGTAGAAGATCTTTATAAATTCTAAATGAAGTACTTTGTCAATTATACGTTACAAATATTTTCTTCCAGTTGTGAAGTTTCATTCTCTTTACAGTGTCTTCTGATGAAATCCATTGCTTTTTTTTTTTTTTTTTTTTTTTTTGAGACAGCGTCTCACTCTGTTGCCTGGGCTAGAGTGCCAGTCCACTGAACAGTCTAGTCACTAGTGCATATCTTATAATTTTCTTTTGAAAGCAGCTGTTCTGTTGTGCCACACATCAACACTCTAGGTGCGGAACTCAGTAGCTCTTTCAAACCCTTCTTCAACTAGAGAAGTTCTTCTATTTATTTAGTTGTTTATTGTATCTCTTCCATTTTTTTTTCTCTTATTTTTCAGTTTTGATATACTCTTAAACTTACTCTTCCAGACCATTAATTTGAATCTCGACAAAAATCATCCTCTCTACAAATTAATATACATATATATATGTTTTTCCCTCACATCATTTTTTTAATTCTGTGATTAAAAGCATGCTGCTTTATTTCTCTTGAGAATCTCAAGAGAATAATTTGTTTTGTTCTACTGTCTAAACTTGTGATCTATCTCTTCTAATAGTTGTATTTTATTGAAGTTACTTGTTTTGGATATTCTCCTTGTTCATCCTCTCTCTGGCGGTTGGAGTATCTTTATGTTAATTATTTTCCTTTTCCAATTCATGGCTCTCCTCATCCTTGAAGCTCAGGTCAAGCTGCAAGGATACCATAAATGGCAGTCAACTCCAAAATAAAAGAAGTAACCTTTAAAAGGGCTGGAACTAACCTTCCCCTCTAGGGCACAGCTATTTCTGGATAGATCAAAGAATATAATCAAAGTTTTGATTATTGTCCCATAGGCTTTTGCCCCTTGTTTCCATTTAAACACCAGTATATCCCAAGACTCACACATTCTCTGTGGGCCCTCCATGCTTGCCAGCCCTAGAGCTTTAGGCTGAAGTGGTCGTTAGTAACTAAACTTGGGAAAGAGACCATCTTGCCAACTTGCCTCCTCACTGCATATTCATTTGGAAAAGGTTAATAAAGCCCAGTTAACAGAAGCCATTAAGTACTTCAGACTAAAAAGTTCCCATAGAATCACTTTGTGAATGACTTCTCTCTCTCTCTCCTTTTTTTTTTTTTTGAGACAGAGTAGCCCAGGCTAGAGTGCAGTCGTAGCTCACTTCAACTTCAAACTCCTGGGCTCAAGTGACCTCTTGCCTCAGCTGCCCGAGTAGCTGGACTATAGATGTGCACCATGGTCCTGGCTAATTTCTATTTTAATAGACATAAGTTCCCCTCTTGCTCAGGCTGGTCTCGAACTCCTGAATTCAAGCAATCCTCCTGCCTCAGCCTCCCAAAGTGTTAGAATTACAGGCATGAGCCACCACACCTGGCCTGAATGACTTCTTTAATACAAAATGTAACAAAAATTTATCTATCAATTCCTATTAATGTTATCATAATTTTAAAATTGAAGAATTAAAGAATTAACATCAATTAAAACTGCTCTTTTAAATATTTAAGTTTAACCCAATAAAAATGACTTTGGGCCAACAATAAAATAAGTAGAGACTATTTAAGTTCAGTTAGCTTAATATTTATTATAAACCTGAATTATTTAAAATCCAGAAAAATGTAACAGATGATGTCTTTTCATTGTCTAATGGGGAAAAAATTTATTTTATACTAATGAAGAAAAAAGACAACTAGAATATACTAAGCTTAGATGCATCTCAATAAACTCCTTAATTTTTAAATAATTAGCTAATTAAGACATAATCTGTTTACTTTCAAATCCAGAGTTTTAAGGATTCTCATAAGTTTTTCCATTTTTAAATTGTATTTTAATTTGGAAAGACAAGTAGCTTCTCCTTTTTTAACTGAGTAATCTCTAACATGCTATAAATTTGTGAATAGAGAGACTAAATTATTTACTTGGGTCATATTTCATACTATGGAAAACATGCAAAATACTCACTCTAGCCCGGGCAACAAAGTGAGACTCTGTCTCAAAAAAAAAAAAAAAAAAAACCTGACTGAAAGCCAGAAAACAGAAAAACAGAAGGAAAAGATCATCTATAATTACATGACTCATATACAACATTCTGATAAATTTTGTTTTTATTTTTTTTATTTCAGCATGTTAGAGAGGTACAAATGTTTAGGTTACATATATTGCCTTTGCCCCTTCCCAAGTCAGAGCTTCAAGTATGTCCATCCCCAGACAGTGCACACTGTACCCATTAGGTAAGAATATACCTATCCCCAGCTCCCTCCTTTTACCTGCCTGACGCTCGATGAATGTTACTATCCTAAGAACACATATAGAAATTGCTGATATAAAAAGATAATATGAATATCTGTAAATGTTTTAGTAAAGAGAAGAAAAAATTGAAAAGACCACATAAAACCCAAAATTTAAAATAAGAAAACAATATTCTTACCTAATATTTAAGAATGTTAGAGCTTGTAGGTTTAGAATTGCCTCTGGGATATATCGAATGCAATTTTGGTACAAGTTGAGACTTTCAAGAGAAACGAAGTGACATGCTTCTAAAGGAATTTCTGAGAGGCGATTTCGTGACAGGTCTGAAAGAAAAAATATGTGAAGTTTAAAATCAGTCCTTGGAACTTATTTTTTTTGAAGTGTTAGATAAATAAGCAGGTTTCATAATTATTTAAATTCCCCAGAGTTCCTTACTATGGAGATTAGTCCAAAGTAAGCATTCATGCTTGTTAATTGACTAAATAAACCATTTTAACATGTCTCTAAACCTGTTGCTGGAAAATGCTCATTTGAGTTTCTACATATACTAAAAAAAAATAAAACCATTATTCTTTACAAGTAACACAAGTTCTAAGGCATATCTACCTACAAATTACATCAAAGATCATTACCAGTAAGTTCCAAATATCCTAGGAAACAAATGGATCCCTAAAAACCACCTTCCCAAAGGCACAGAAAACATTTTGAGGTTTTTGAAAAGCAAAACAAAGCAAAACAAAATATACTGTCCCTTTCTTTACTAGTCAGAAGATAAAGGTCATGATCAAAAGGACTCAGGAACCATCTTTGTGCCCATTGGCCAAAGATGAGACAATGTGAACTTCAATAAAGATAATCCCAGTGTATTGAAATCTATCACATATATTAAACTACATGAGATTATGACATACACCCCCCCCCCAAAATATAACAGAGATCCAACTCAGTATTTTTTTCAGCTATTTTTTTATTTGTATATATTCATGGAGCACAACTGCAATTTTGCTACATTGATATACTGCATTGTGTTAGTCAGAGCCTTCAGTGCATACATGAATGAAGCAACATACATTGTACATATCAAGCAACCACCCAACATCACCCCCACTCCAACTCTCCTACCCCTCCAAGTCTTCATTATCTATCATGCCACACTCTGCTTCCATGTGTACACATTATTTAGCTCCCACTTATAAGTGAGCATATGCAGTATTTGTCTTTCTGTGTCTGAGTTGTTTTACTTAAGATAATGACCTCCAAGTCCATCCATGTTGCTGCAAAAGACATGATTTCATTCTTTTTTAAGGCTGAATAGTATTCCATTGTGTATATATACCATACTTTCTTTATCCACAGTTGATGGGCACTTAGGTTGATTCCATATCTTTGCTATTGTGAATAGTGCTGTGATAAAAATAAGAGTGTAGGCATCTTTTTTAATATATTCAGTCCTTTTCCTCTGGGGAGATTACCAGCAATTTATCTTATAAACTGGTAAATTAAGGGAAAGAAACAAACATTTATCCTGCTTTCCCCCATATGAAGGTATCATTGAATAACCAAATAGTTAAAACACAATAAAAGTGTTCTAGCTATGAATGAAAAAGAATAATAGAATATCACCCCCAACAAATTAATGGATCTAGAATTGAGCACCAATGGCTGTTATCTTTATAAAAAGACAATCAGAAATCACATGCCTCTATCAGGTGAATGAGGCTAAAAAAAAAATTATATTAGAAATCATATGCCTCTCACTAGAAAAACAGAATATCACCTATGATTTTGCCAAAGGCACACAGAACCTAAGTCTAATCAAACTTCTGGATCACCTACAAACTTTCAGGAAACACAGAGGACAAAGGAATATACTGATATACCATCACTCTATCATTCTCCACTTCTATTTTATTAAATATACTATGAAATTCATTTGCTCACCCGTTTTCTCTTTTCTTCTTCTTCTGTTTTTTCTATTGGGAATTACTTGGTTCCTTTATTGGGAACTTTGTAGATGGAGGACCTGCTAACATATTCTCTGACTTTCTGCATATCTGCTAATATCTTACTTTCGCCACAAGTAAATGGTACTTTGGCTAGGTATAGGCACAGTTCTTTTCTTAGTAATCTGTAGGTGTTACTCTACTAGCTGTTAGTTTCCAGTGTCACACTGAACAGTCTAGTCACTAGTGCATATCTTATAATTTTTCTTTTGAAAGCAGCTTGTTCTGTTTGCCTATCACACTCAACACTCTAGTGCGGAACTCAGTGAGCTCTTTCAACCCTTCTTCAACTAGAGGAAGTCTCTTCTATTATATTTTTAGTTGTTTATTGTATCTCTTCCATTTGTTCTTTTTCTTTCTTTATATTTTTTTCAGTTTTTTGGTTTTTTTTTGAGACAGAGTCTCGCTTTGTTATCCAGGCTAGAGTGAGTGCCGTGGCGTCAGCCTAGCTCACAGCAACCTCAAACTCCTGGGCTCAAGCGATCCTGCTGCCCTCAGCTCCGAGTCAGCCCTGGGCTCACAGGCATGTGCCACATGCCGGCTAAATTATTTATATATCAGATATCCAGTTGGGGGCCAATTAATCTTCTTTCTATTGTATCGTAAGAGACGAGCGGTCTCACTTCTGCTCAGCGCTGGCTTTTGAAACTCCTGCACCCTTGAGGCACACTGCCCGCCCGCCCACTCCGGAACTCACCAAGAGCTAGGATTACATGGCGTGAAGCCACCAGCGCCGGCCCATTTTTTTCAGTTTTGATATACTACTTAAACTTAATCTTGCCAGACCATCTAATCTTGGAATCTCGACAATCTCTATAAAAATTAATATAATATATAACTATGTTCCGATTCACCTCACATCATGTTTTTCTACAATTCTAGTGATATAAACCTGCTGCTTTATTTCTCTGCGGAGAATCTCAAGAGAATAATTTGTTTTCGTTTCTAAGGCTGCTCTAAACTTCGTGATTCTATCTAACATTCTATGTGTAACTTTTTATTGAAGTTACTTGTTTTGGATATTCTCCTTGTTCATCCCGTCTCCTCTGGGGTTGGAGTATCCTTTATGTTAATTATTTTCCTTTTCCAATTCATGGCTCTCCTCATCCTTGAAGCTCAGGTCAAGCTGCAAGGATACCATAAATGGCAGTCAACTCCAAAATAAAGAAGTAAACGTGTTAAAGGGCTGGGAACTAACCTTCCCCTCTAGGCACCAGCTATATTTCTGGATAGATCAAAGAATATAATCAAAGTTTTGATTCTTGTCCCATATGGCTTTTGCCCCTTGTTCATTTCAAAACACGACAGATATATCCCACAGCACTGCACACATTCTCTGTGGCCCTCCATATGCTTGCCAGCCCTAAGCTTTAGGCTTGAAGTGGCTCGTGTAGCTAACTAAACCTTGCGAAGAGACATCTTGCCCTTCCTCTCACTCGCATATTCATTTGGAAACAGGATTAAAAAGCCCAGTTAAAGAAGCACTTAGTACTCTCAAGACTAAAAAGTTCCATGAGATCAATCTCACTTGTGAAATGACTTCTCTCTCTCTCTTCTCATCGTCTCTCTTTTCTCTTTTTTTTTTCTGAGACCACGAGTACCCAGGCCTAAGAGTGCCATGGCAACTTCAAACTCCTGGGCTCAAGTGACCTCTTGCCTCAGCTGCCCGAGTAGCTGGGACTATAGATATGCACCATGGTGCCTGGCTAATTTTTCTATTTTTAATAGACATAGGTTCTCCCTCTTGCTCAGGCTGGTCTCGAACTCCTGAATTCAAGCAATCCTCCTGCCTCAGCCTCCCAGAGTGTTAGAATTACAGGCATGAGCCACCACACCTGGCCCGAATGACTTCTTTAATACAAAATGTAACAAAAATTATTCTATCAATTCCTATTTAAATGTTATAATTTTAAAAATTGAAGAAATTAAAGAAATTAACATCAATTAAAACTGCTCTTTAAATATTTAAGTTTAACCCAATAAAAATGACTTTGGGCAACAAATTAAAATTAAGTAGAGACTATTTAAGTTCAGTTAGCTTAATATTTGTATTATAAACCTGAATTATTTAAAATCCAGAAAAATGTAACAGATGATGTCTTTTCATTTGTCTAATGGGGGAAAACATTTTATTTATACTAATGAAGAAAAAAATGACAACTAGATATATACTAAGCTTAGATGCATCTCAATAAACTACTCCTTAATTTTTAAATAATTAGCTAATTTAAGACATAATCTGTTTACTTTCAAATCCAGAGTTTTTAAGGATTCTCATAAGTTTTTCCATTTTTAAATTGTATTTTAATTTGGAAAGACAAGTAGCTTCTTCCTTGTTTTAACTGAGTAATCTCTTAACATGCTATAAATTTGTGAATAGAGAGACTAAATTAGTTACTTGGGTCATATTTCATACTATGGAAAACACTGCAAAATAATAAATAGGTTTTAATAAAGCAAAATTTGTTAATCATTATTCCTAAGGAGAAATAATCTATACAGCCACAGAAATGAATAAAAGAAGGCCAGGTTGTCGGTGCTCATAACCGTTAAATGCACTAGCACCTTTGGGAGGCTAAGGTAGGAGACTCAATGGACGGCACAGCGAGTGATTAGACAGCGAGAACGTAGGCATGTAGCTAGACCTCAGTAGAGCTAGGTGGATGACACCACTGCAGACCTGGGCAATTAAGCAAGACTCCATCTCAAAAAAAAAAAGAAAAGAACTCGTTATTATAAAGGGAGAGACAGAAAACACAATACACATCCTTCTCCTGCTCAAAACAGTTTGGATATAGTTTCATTCTTAAAACCTTTTCCAGCTATTAAAAGCAAACACAAGTTTAACTTCATAATCAGAAGACTGCATGAAACATACATGTGTTCAAAGACAATGAGAGCGTCGCAGTACTGTCAGAAGCACCCATGTAGCCTTCTTGATCATAACCATGGTCCTTCCCCAGACAGATATAAGATCAATAGAACTATTTTATAATAATGATTTCTTCTAGAATATTATATATATGTAATAATAGTTATAGTGTACTAGTATTTACCTCCTCGCTATTAGGTTTCCATTCTGCTGTAATAAATACTATACACATTATAAAAACGTTCGCGTTAAACAACACCAACTTATTTATCTCACAGTTTAATGGTCAGAAGTTGAAACATGGGTCTCACTGGGCTAAAATCAACCCGGTGTACGCAGGGCTGCATTCTCTTTTTAAAGCTCTAGGGAAAATCCCCTTCCAAGCTTCTAGAGACTGTCCATATTCCTTGTCTCATTGCCCCAGTATCCACCTTAAAGGCAGCAAAGT